AGAGGCCATGCAACAGGGACAACTTTCTCCATAACTCTCACCGGTACGCTTCAGCTGCTGGGATGACATTCAGTAACCAGGAGAAACCGGTCTCCATGTGGATAACACACACGCGCTGCTCTCTGTCTCCTCTTCCATGACCAACCTGTTTTATTCAAAGTAGTGCCGTGCCTCATGCACCTACACTGTCCCTAGGAAGTGGGAGGTGCATGTGACTGTGTCCCTCAATATAGGTGGTTGCTATAGTGACTATCTGCAGGATACCTTTCTTTTACAACACCCCTCCCCCTCCCCTACAGATGTATAATTGTATGGTAAGTCAGATGAAAGTTGTTGAGTAGATAACAATTACAAATAATATGTTATTTTCCATTATGCCATATTGGCTTTTTTCCACCTGTATCACAGAGTGTAAACAAACAAGTTTAACAATGAACAGGGCAGACTGTTCTTTAGCATGTCTCACTAAGGCTTTGGAATCCAATACACATTGTTGTCCAAAACATTTTATTGGTTCAATGTTTAATGGTTTACTATATCTCTCGTCCACATACAAAATCCTGCCCAGTTAGAGAGGGAGAGCAGGAGAGAGAGTGTGAGAGAGAACTTTTATCATAAACATATGGTAGGTAGGCTACTCCTCAAATAGGAGAGGGAAAATAGTGGATTGGATTGTTGTTGCATTCTTAACATTCCATACAACCTGCTAGATTGGATTAAGGACATAAAGGAGACTAGAAGCAGCATTTAGTCAGTGCTGTTCTTTGAATTGAACTTTACACTGTAGCAAAACAAAACCTAATATGATTGCAATTCCTGTCTCCTTAAATATATAATTCCGTGAAGTAGGCACTCCTACATACAGCTATGTTATTATTCTCTATGGCAATTAAACACATAATGGCTATTGGTTACAATAATAGGCAACTTCACATCAGCCTCTAAAAATGACCCTTGCAGCACCTCAGTAGGCTATGACTCATGACGACATGAAATTGTTGAATGACTAGCCATGTTAAACTAAACATTTCTCCAAATAGTCTGGTGACAATTTACAGGATGCAATATCAACCTTATTTTACAATTTATACAAATGGTATGGTCATTAGGCTAAAACATAAGACTATATTTCATAAAATTACATTGTCCCCTTGTATTGACCCTTTATACTGTGCAATAGGAATATGTTGATCCTTTTTTTTTTTTTATGACGTGAGGGAAATTTTACGTCATAGTGTTACGAATCCATTAGATCTCTTTATATTTAAGAATCTATAAGAACTTTCAAGTCCCTTTCAAGAAGACACTATATCGTGTTCCTTCATATCCATATGACATGATTATACAGAAAAAACAGTCTGTATCAGATCAATTCTCTTACCATTCTCTCTCTTTCCCCAGACAGTTACAATGTATCCTTCTATTCCGTATTGAACAGGGGCTGTCTCAGTAGTCGTCTATTACTAAAACCTGTAAAACGTAGTTGGTCGGCTTCTAAGAAAAAAACAAGACAAATTCCAAATAAACAATAGGATCCCAGATGCTTTCCAAGCAGGAACGCACGGATTCTCCTCAGGACCTGGTTCCTCTGTCCATACTGTAGCTATTGTAAATGAACTCAGGCTCTGAATGCTGCTGTATGTTTGAGCGCTGAAGTTAAACTTCGAGGCTGGTAGTTGACTGAGCAGCCTGACCAAACAATCCATAAATGGAAAATTCGTCTTTAGCCCTCAGCCAATAGGAGCGGGATCTGGACGCGTCACTCCAGAGGGAATCCCACCAGATGATTTTGGGTACGTTGGAGAACGCATTTGCTGTGGGTAAAAAGTGCGGCCCAATCAAATCGGACAAATAAGAGCTTTGAATTTGATAAGAATTTATTCTGAAAGAGGACCATATTGTACAAGCATTATACACTTCATGATACTTTTATATCACTCATGGGATAGCTTTTACAAGTTTATCTTTCCTTCTAAATTGAGCAGAAATGTCCTTGTCCCATGGCGCTCTAGCGACTCCTGTGTCGGGCCGGGCGCATGCACGCTGACATGGTCGCCAGTTGTAAGGTGTTTCCTCCGACACATTGGTGCAGCGGACTTCCGGGTTAAGCGAGCAGTGTGTCAAGAAGCAGTGCGGCTTGGCAGGGTCGTGTTTCGGAGGACGCATGGCTCTCAACCTTCGCCTTTCCTGAGTCCGTACGGGAGTTGCAGCGATGGGACAATACTGTAACTACCAATTGGATATCACGAAATTGGGGAGAAAAAGGGGTAAAACAATAAAAAATAGTTTAATATTCCTTTGATACTGCCATTCCGTTTCTTTTTTATCCTGAAAAACTTCACATTTCTTAACGATTACAAGCACACCCATAACAAGATGCAGCCACCACTATGCTTGGAAATGTGGAGAGAGGTACTCAGTGATGTGTTGTATTGGATTTGCCCCAAACACAGCTCTTTGTGTTCAGGACAAAAAGTTAATTGCTTTGCCACATTTTTTGCAGTATTACTTTAGTGCCTTGTTGCAAACAGGATGCATGTTTTGGAATATTTTTATTCTGTACAGACTTCCTTCTTTTCACTCTGTCATTTAGGTTAGTATTGTGGAGTAACTACAATGTTGTTGATCCATCCTCAGTTTTCTCCTATCACAGCCATTAAACTCTGTAACTGTTTTAAAGTCACCATTGGCCTCATGGCGAAATTCGTGAGCGGTTTCCTTCCCCTCCGGCAACTGAGTTAGGAACGACACCTGTATCTTTGTAGTGACTGGGTGTATTGATACACCATCCAAAGTGTAATTAATAACTTCACCATGCTCAAAGGGATATTCAGTGACTTAACCAATAGGTGCCATTCTTTTCGAAGGCATTGGACAACCTCCCTGGTCTTTGTGGTTGAATCTGTGTTTGTAATTCATTGCTCGACTGAGGACCTTACAGATAATATGTGTGGGATACAAAGATGAGGTAGTCATTACAATTTTTTAAAAACTATTATTGCACACAGAGTGAGTCCATGCAACTTATTATGTGACTTGTTAAGCACATTTCTACTCCTGAACTTATTTAGGCTTGCCATAACAAAGGGTTAAATACTTATTGACTCCAGACATTTACGCTTTTCATTTTTTATTAATTTGTAAACATTTTGAAAAACATCATTCCACTTTGACATTATGGGGTATTGTGTGTAGGCCAGTGACAAAAAAAACTCAATTTAATCCATTTTAAATTCAGGCTATAACACAACAAAATGTGGAAAAAGTGAAGGGGGGTGAATACTTTCTGAAGGGACTGTAATTAACATAACCCAAATAACATGAATGTGAAATAATGTTACAGTATGACATTTAATGGGTGCTCATGTGACCGATGTAAACAACTGTGTGAACACAAATAACTGGAGCAGTAGGATGAAGACAATGCACTCATTGTTCACCGTGTCAAATATAGAAAGAGTTCACCCAAAATAATTGAGTTTTTCGTTTTTCTATCCCTGAACATATACGATGGCAAAAAACCCATTTCTCACAGCCAAATGTCAAATGTAATTTGGTTGACTGGATATTTATAAAGCTTTTGCAAGTCAACTCCAACTGCGTCAGCTCATCTCATCTACTGTCACCAATGTGTAGCACACACAAATGATGACATCTCCTGTGCACCAGATCTTTAACTGGGTACGGTTTGGATGTGGAGTGAGGCAGGGAGGGAGCCGGTGTAACATGTGGGTGAAACCTGTTTGACAGGCCTAACAATGGCATGCAGGGCTTGCAGGCTGCCCATGACATTCTGTAACAGGTTATGCTGCTGCCATGAATACCAACTGTTTGATTTCAAACATATACCTGTTGAATGCGTTGTGTGTGTCAGTGGCATAGCTCTGTTTCCCACCCAATTGGGAGCCAGGCCCAGCCAATCAGAATTAGTTTTTCCCCACAAAAGGGCTTCATTACGTACAGAAATAATCCTCAGCAGTTTTTTGTGCATATGGAACATTTCTGGGATCTTTTATTTCAGCTCATTAAACATGGGCCCAACACTTTACATGTTGCGTTTATATTTTTGTTCAGTCTACAAACCATCTACTTGGGACTATCCAAATAAAGTGCTAACAAACCTTTTTTCATTTTGCCATAGTTTGTACATCTCAATTGGCAATAGGCAGAGAGAAAAATGTGCAGTTTTATAGCTAATCTCTTGCTACTTTACATATTTTGCCATGATGCTATGAGGAAAATGTGCAGTTTTAAAGCTAATTTCCTATAATTCAAGAAAAAATAATCATAGCTTATGATGTGTTCAAATGCTATCCCCCCAACCCAACATCTCCTAGGACCACACATTGCGGGGGCTGCGTGCTGCGCCAGTGGGTGTGTGTGTGTGTGTGAGAGTGTGTAAGAGAGATGTCATTTTGTTATTCAAAGATTTGGAGAGCCTAATAATGATTCAAAGATAACATGAACATTGATCATTGATAAAAAGTTACAGATGCATGGCAATGCCAGGAAAAACAGGTAAGTAACGCCATCTGCATGGCAAAAGCTTTAAGCATAAACATAGGCCAGAGAGGAACTTGATGCTGCAAAAGAATGACTGGGGAAAGGGGGATTTAGATATATTTTGTTCTTATTTACCTTGAGACACTTTGACTTACTTCTATTTAATATCCCAAAACAAATGTTTTTGTCATATCTTCAGCACAATGGCGTAGTAAGTAGTCATATAGATATTAATATTCCTATGCAGATTATTATAATGGCTAGAATTTTGAGACTTGTCAGGCATAAATACGTGTAGCATCAACTCTTCAAAAACTAGTTTCATTTTCAATGAAATGTACAGAACAGCAAAATAGTTGGGAGTTCTCACATACTGTATATCATACATTCACACACCACAAACACCCTCTGTTCATTCTGTCTTCCTGTTATGGTCAGCTCTGCTTCCTCATTTAGTGAATCAAGAAAAAGAAAAAATAATTCTAAGTACAACGATCATGGACGTGCTCTCTATCTTCATTCTAATGACTCTGGTAGGAAAATGTCAAGGTAGGTAAATATTTTCTCAACAAAGTTTAAGACTTGAATAATAGAGTTTGTGAGTATACAATCGAGAAGCTTGATTCTAACTTTGGAAACCTTTTTTTTTATCTGAAAGGGAACATTTATCTAATTTATCAAGGGGAAAAAGAAGATATATCCCTACAATGTAAAGGAAGTTTTTGGCAGATTGACCTAGATCAAGACAACAAGGTGGATTGCACTTTTAATTACACTGCTAATGACAATAAGAAGACATGTAACCAGGATTTGGAGAAGAACATAACACTTGAACTAGAAGAAAAATCCTGCATAAATCTAAGTATTAAACAATGTTTTTATATGAAATTGGAAAGAAACATCACTGGATTTTTTGCGTGTTTCCGCAATGTCCAATCAATTGATGGAGACCTATTCCCCTTTAAACCATCAAAAGATCTGGTGGCTTTTTATATTGTGGCATTTGTTGAATCAGAGAGTGAGTTCACATTTACATTTCCTAACTTTCACAATTTCTAAATGATATACAACTCACATTACAGTATACTGTACAGTAGGCCTATATTGTATATACACAGTGCATTCGGAAAGTATTCAGACCCCTTGACTTTTCCCAAAAAAAATTACGTTACAGCCTTATTCTAAAATTGATTAAATTGTTTCCCCCCCTCATCAATCTACACACAATACCCCATAATGACAAAGTAAAAACAGGTTTATAGAAATTTTTGCACATTTCTAAAAAATAAAAAACGGAAATATCACATTTACATAAGAATCGAAACCCTTTACTCAGTACTTTGTTGACGCACATTTGGCAGCGATTACAGCCTTGAGTCTTCTTGGGTATGACGCTACAAGCTTGGCACACCTGTATTTGGGGAGTTTCTCCCATTCTTCTCTGCATATCCTCTCAAGCTCTGTCAGGTTGGATGGGGAGTGTCGCTGCACAGCTATTTTCAGGTCTCTCCAGAGATGTTCGATCGGGTTCAAGTCCGGGCTCTGGCTGGGCCACTCAAGGACATTCAGAGACTTGTCCTGAAGCCACACCTGCATTGGCTTGGCTGTGTACTTAGGGTTGTTGTCCTGTTGGAAGGTAAACCTTTGCCCCAGTCTGAGGTCCTGAGTGCTCTGGAGCAGGTTTTCATCAAGATCTCTCTGTACTTTGCTCCGTTCATCATTCCCAAGATCCTTGCTAGTCTCCCAGTCCCTGCCGCTGAAAAACATCCCCACAGCATGATGCTGCCACCACCATGCTTCACCATAGGGATGGTGCCGGGTTTCCTTGTTTCTCATGGTCAAGTGTCCTCTAGGTGTCCAAGCGGGCTGTCATGTGCCTTTTACTGAGGAGTGGCTTCCGTCTGGCCACTCTACCATAAAGGCCTGATTGGTGGAATGCTGCAGAGATGGTTGTCCTTCTGGAAGGTTCTCCCATCTCCACAGAGGTACTCTGGAGCTCTGTCAGAGTAACCATCGGGTTCTTGGTCACCTCCCTGACCAAGGCTTTTCTCCCCCGATTGCTCAGTTTGGCGGGGCGGCCAGCTCTAGGAAGAGTCTTGGTGGTTCCAAACTTCTTCCATTTAAGAATGATGGAGGCCACTGTGTTCTTGGGGACCTTCAATGCTGCAGAAATGTTTTGATACCCTTCCCCAGATCTGTGCCTCGACATAATCCTGTCTTGGAGCTCTACGGACAATTCCTTCGACCTCATGGCTTGGTTTTTGCTCTGACATGCACTGTCAACTGTGGGACCTTATATAGACAGGTGTGTGCCTTTCCAAATCATGTCCAACCAATTGAATTTACCACAGGTGGACTCCAATCAAGTTGTTGAAACATCTCAAGGATGATCAATGGAAACAGGATGCACCGGAGCTCAATTTCGAGTTTCATAGCAAAGGGTCTGAATACTTATGTAAATAAGGTATTTCTGTTTTTTATGTTTAATAAATTCGCAAACATTTCTAAAAACCTGTTTTCATTTTGTCATTATGGGGTATTGTGTGTATATTAATGAGGATTTTTTATTTAATCATTTTTAGAATAAGGCTGTAATGTAACAAAATGTGGAAAAAGGGAAGTGGTCTGAATAGTTTCCACATGCACTGTAGATATATTATATTTGAAGTCATATGATTTTGAGATTCATAGTTTTACAATATGTTTATGAAAATATTTTACATGAAATTATGTTCTTTTTCTGTAGTGGTGATACCTGACCCTGGTGTGGAAACTAAAACTGTTACCAAACAGCATGGAGAAACAGTCAACCTTACATGTCATTTCACAATAGCCAACCATTTTTCTAACATGCCATTCTCAGTGTACTGGATCAAGAACTTCAGCGGAAAAAATTGCACTTGTCTTCATTCTTATTCTTTTGATACTAATGTTGGACCATCATATGACCAACATTGTCTCATTGATGAGGCCCTGCTGAATAAAATGTCAAATACTTCATCTACACCCCTAACAAACCCTCACTTTCATAACCTTAAGATCAGCAATGCCACATATTCAGACAGCGGACAGTATTTGTGTGCCTTACAGGTGCTTAAAGGTAAAAAAGGGCACTGGAAGGTAATAACTAATATCACAGTCACTGTGAATGGAGAATTCAACAACCACACCAACAGGTATGACACAGCCCTGTTAGATACACCTGGTGAGTCACAGTATATTGTTATCACTAATACATAATATGATCATGAATAATACCTCATTGATCTTCATTCTGAATGCTTTGTGTTTTATTAAAAGGGGGTCCTTACATACCACTGTATGTAGTAGGAGCCCTGTTCTTCTCCTGCCTGTTTGTTACTGCCATTGTCATTGTCATGACGAAAAATACCAAGATTTCGCAAGGTGAGTAAAAACCCACATACTGTATGTTCTATTATCAAGTATGTCTTTTTTAATCATCATAATGTTATTGACATGGCCTTCTGTTTCTTTCTGCCTCCAGCAGAATCTCACACTCTGAGGATGAAAAGGTATTTCATTATTTGAAAATAACATTTCTGATAGCCATGTATCTATTACATGTTACTAATATGGAATTTTATAATAATAAATACTTTATTTAATCATTGCAGAGACCAAGATGGAGAGGAGACACTTGACTCAGACTGTGAGTTGTCATATTATTTCCATAAAAGGAATTTGCAGTACTGACAGGTTTTCAAACCCATTTAACCCCACTGCTTCCTCTTTCTGGATGTAGGCTCCCCATACGCTGAGGGCAGAGGAGAGGAGGAGGGGCCCTACTCACTTGTGAGGCTGACTGAAGTGAGAGATCCTGTGACTGCACATAACTGGGCTGAGGAAACATGCTGCTGTTGCTGCCGAGCCCTATTCTGTAGTCATGTTCAATACTGAGTATGAGGCCTTTGACCCCCAGGCCATTCAGACACCATCCACCTGACCACCTCAGGATTGGAGCGAAAGTATGAGTTACTAACAACCATTAGTTACTCATATCATGTAGATAAAGTTAGATAAAGATAATGTTTTCATGATTGGTCCTTCATATTGTGTTTAGACCAAGGTGGGGCCGCCAGGGGTTTGTTTGGGATGGAGGGTGGGAGAGGTTGAGTGTTGGTGAAAAAATTATTTTGTGATTCTTATTGATTGTACAGGTTATGTGACTCAATAAAAAAACTTAGTTCACAAAAATTAAGTTAAATTAAAGAGAAAAGGAGGATTTACTTTCTTTTTTAATTGAATGTTTTTGTGCTCACTCATGCTGGACTGAACATTTTCACTAGATGGTGCTAGTGCTCAGTCCTACAGTTGTGCTTACTGTTTCTCTGATATTGTGTGATATGTGTGATTCCCTAATTATTATGTAACATTGAATAAACATTGCATATATAAAATTAACGTGATTTTTTTTTTTTGGGGGGGGGAATCAATCATTGCAATATCAATTGGAATATCAATAGGCGATAGTGTATACTAAACATGATTAATCAAATCAAATTTAGTCGTAAATAGACATATATGAACGGACCAGATTATACTTTTTATTTATTTATTTTAACTTCCATCAATGTAAATGTCTGCACCACTTCCAATCCCCCATATGTTTTTTTTCTCGCAAATATATATATATATATATATATATATATATATATGTATATACATATACATACATACACATACATATACAAATACATACATATAAATACATATACATACATATATATATATATACATGTCCTTTAAAAAAATATATTTCCCTTTATTACTTTCCAACTCCACCACCCCTTCCCTAATTGGAGTAGACTAGTGAACAACAACGCTTAGGCCTCTACTTCCAGCTTATACATACTATTTACATTTTATGGACACAGTCAATTTTACAATAATTATATTTTGTTTGTTTTTACTCCTGAACTTCCTCTGCCCTCAACCTTCCGATCATTTTCATGATGTCCATCCGGTTTGCTTCTATATGCAATATCTTTCTAACTGTGCTCTTTCACAAAAGCTCTCAACCTATAACCTATATACTTATTATGGACACAGTATGCTTTACATTAGTTATCTTGTTGTTATTAGTTGTTGTTAGTTGTTATTAGTCCCATCATTCAGCTCCATTCAACACCTCCCATCTATCTCTTAACATCATCCATATTTGATGTCTATTTCCCATTTATTTTAAACTGTACTGTGATGTTTCACAAACGTTCTGAACCCTTCTATTCTCATTGTTTCTACAGATTGTAAATTGAAAATAAACATTTTTGCTAAAATTATTATTATATTATTGATCGATTGACTATGACTTTTCAGATCACCCAATAGTGCTATCTGCAGGGTTAGTTCCAGGTAAATATTGCAATCCTTCAGCCATTCCTGGACCTGTGACCAAAAACAAGCTACATATGGACAGTACCAAAACAAATGATCTAATAATTCTGTCTCTTTGCAGCAAAATCTGCAGAGCTGGGAAGATTGTTTCCCACATATAAATAACATTCTATTGGTAGAAAGAATTTTGCTTAATAATTTTAATTGAAAAATTCTACGTTTTGAATCCGGCGTAGTTTTGCATATCAGTTCATAAACACTATGCCATGGAATCGGTACGTCAAAAATCTCTTCCCAACTATTTTGCGATCTATATGGGACGGCTGTCAATCCTTTGGTCCTTAAATGAAACTGGTATACTTTTTTATTTGTCACAATTTTCTTTAACCAATTATGTTCTTTAATGCAGGGCTGACAGACAAGTTCCTTACTTTTTCCCCCTTCCACTTTCCTCTTCCATTTTTGCGGTAATTTTGGTAGAGCAGTCATTTCCATATGTTTTTGTTAGCTGCATGTGTGACATAATTCCACCAGTCCAACCTATGATATCATTTACGAAGATTATATATTTTTAAAACATTTTTTTGAAAAATTTTTTTTTAAAATCAATTAGTATTTTTGAGTTTAACCACAATATTTGTTGCATTATTTGTTCTGTTGTTTCTGGAGTATTAAATTGAAATTGCAACCAACTTTCTATGGCTTGTTTTAGAAATAGTGATATTTGGGAGATGATTTCCTTTTCAAATAACTGAAAGTGAGAGATTGTAATCTGAATAAAGGGAAAAGGACCATTCTTGAACATGAGGTGAGACAATCTTACTAATTTGCAAGAGAACTAGTTTGGATTTAAGTATAACTTTTGTATGACTGAAGCTTTTAGTGATAGGTCTAATGCTTTAATATTTAATAATTTCTGTCCTCCGAATTAATATTCATTATATAAATAGGCTCGTTTAATTTTGTCTGGCTTGCCGTTCCATATAAAATGGAATAGTTTTTTCTCATATAATTTAAAAAACTGTTCACTAGGGGTAGGCAAGACGATAAGCAAATAGGTAAACTGGGATAATACTAAAGAGTTAATCAGGGTGATTTTTCCACAAATAAACAGGTATTTACCTTTTCATGGTAGCAAGACCTTATCTATCTTTGCTAAGTTTCTATTAAAATGTATTGGAGTGAGATCATTTATTTCATTTGGGATATGTATTCCGAGTATATCCACCTCACCATCAGACCATTTTATTGGTAAACTACATGGTAATGTAACATTTTTATTTTTTTGTGATCCAATGCATAATATAGTACATTTATCATAAATTGGTTGTAATCCAGAGGGGTTAGAAAATGTATCTAGATCCTCTATGAGGCTGTGGAGGGATTCAAGTTGTGGATTTAAAAGAAAACATGCATCATCAGCATACAATGACACCTTTGTTTTTAAGCCCTGGATTTCTAATCCCTTGATATTATTGTTGGATCTGATTTTAATAGCTAACATTTCGATGGCCATAATAAATAGATATGCCGATAGTGGACAACCTTGTTTTACTCCTCTTGACAGTTTAAAACTTTCGGAGAAATAGCCATTATTTACTATTTTACACCTAGGGTTACTATACATGATTTTAACCCATGTTATAAGAGATTCTCCAAAATTGAAATGTTCCAGGCATTTATATATAAACTCCAGTCGTACTTTATCAAATGCCTTTTTAAAGTATGCTATGAATAGCATACCTGGTTTCCCAGATTTTTCATAGTGTTCTATTGTTTCCGGTACTTGCCTTATATTATCTCCAATGTATCGTCCATGTAAAAAACCTGTCTGATTAGAATGAATAATGTCCGACAATACATGGTCCTCTGTAGCTCAGCTGGTAGAGCACGGCGCTTGTAACGCCAAGGTAGTGGGTTCGATCCCCGGGACCACCCATACACAAAAATGTATGCACGCAGGACTGTAAGTCGCTTTGGATAAAAGCGTCTGCTAAATGGCATATTATTATTATTATACCTTTTTAATTCTATGCGCTATACATTTTGCTAGAATTTTTGCATTACAAACTGAAGTGTAAGGGGCCTCCAATTTTTTGAATGGACTGGATCTTTATATTTCCCACTTGTATCCTGTTTCAGTAATAATGAAATCAGACCTTCTTCTTGAGTGTCTAATAATCTACCATTTACATAGGAGTGGTTAAAACATGCTAATAACGGTCCTCTGAGTATATCAAAACAGGTTTGGTATACCTCGACTGGTATGCCATCCAACCCTGGAGTTTTCCCAGACTTAAAGTCTTTAATTGCATCCAGAAGTTCCTCCTCTGTAATTTCACCTTCACATGAGTCTTTCTGTATGGCTGTTAATTGTACATTATCAATAGAAAAAAATCCCTACAATTAGCTTCAGTTAGAGGAGATGGAGGCGACTGAAACGAAAACATATGCTTAAAGTACCTTGCTTCCTCCTTCAAAATATTATTTGGTGAATCATGGGTGACTCTGTCATTTGTAACCAGTTTCAGTAAATAATTTTTGGTAGCATTTCTATGTTGAAGATTAAAAAAGAATTTGGTGCATTTTTCCCCATATTCCATCCAGTTTGCTTTATTTTTTATAATATATTACACTTGATCTTTCTTGAAGAAGTTTCTCTATTTCTTTTTGTTTTTCCTCTAATTTATTCTGAGCCTCTATGTTACAGTTTTTATTGCTATCTATCTGTTCTGTTAGACCTTATATTTCCTTTGTTAGTATGGACTCTTTTGACCTAAATTGCTTTTGTTTTCGAGATGAGTACTGAATTGTATGGCCTCTAAAGGCACATTTAAAGTGTCCCATACAATAAGGGGATTTGCTGTACCTATGTCGGAAAAATCAGTTATAAATTCCTCTGTCCTAGTTAAAAACAAGTTATCATCCAATAGGCTTTGATTAAAAGTCCAATATCCTCGCCCACATGGAAATTCAGTAAGATTAATGTATATGCCAATTATATGATGGTCCAACCGCATTCTGTCCCCGATCAACACTTTTTAAACTTTTGGTACTAACGAGAATGACATAAGAGAGAAGTCAAGACGACTAGCTTGATTGAGTCTCCGCCATGTATATCTCACTAGGTCAGGATATTTAAGCCTCCATATCTACTAGTTCTAATGTATCCATGACATTCATGATTTCCCTAAGAGCATGAGGGTGATAGTTTGTAGTGTGATTTCCTTTACGGTCCATTGAGATATTTAAAACAGTAATATAATCTCCCACCATAATAATAGAGTATTGTATTGCTTGCAGGGTTGATCATTTATTCTATATTGTCAAAGAAGTGTGGATCATCATTATTTGGTCCGTAAAGGTTAATGAGCCATATCTGTTTATGGTCCAATAACATATTTTAAATCATCCATCTACCTTGCGGATCTGTTTGGACAATTTGCACACTCGGATCGAAATTACTGTTAATTAATATCATCTTTTTCCACACACTTAATCTAGAATTGTTGAATGTGTTTCCTATAAACAATAGATATTATATTCCTTCTCTTTGAGCCATGTACATATTGTTCTTATTTTGTTATTATCTGCTAAGCCATTACAATTATAACTGGCTATACTTATTTCACCACTTACCATAATGAGATACAAGTTTCAAATCTATTTATCATAATATATGTTTGTAAATTTACCAATACAAAAGACCATAGTGATTGAGTGTCCATATAGCTGTACCATGATATTTCCATTGCTACTAAGTAACCCTCCAATTGTTCTCCACTATTCCCCCTGCTAAAGCCCCTCCCCATCCCAAGTCATCCCAGTGGTCGGCATACCACCCCCGTCCCCCCGGATCCCTAGGTCCCCTGAGAGGCCAGGACCCATCCTTTAAAAACAGCACACAGTGCCACCCACAAAACAGAAGCAGGTCAACCGCCAAAAGCATTTCCAATGCTCTCACCTCAATATATACAGTGGGGAGAACAAGTATTTGATACACTGCCGATTTTGCAGGTTTTCCTACTTACAAAGCATGTAGAGGTCTGTAATTTTTATCATAGGTACACTTCAACTGTGAGAGACGGAATCTAAAACAAAAATCCAGACAATCACATTGTATGATTTTTAAGTAATTAATTTGCATTTTATTGCATGACATAAGTATTTGATACATCATAAAAGCAGAACTTAATATTTGGTACAGAAACCTTTGTTTGCAATTACAGAGATCATACGTTTCCTGTAGGTCTTGACCAGGTTTGCACACACTGCAGCAGGGATTTTGGCCCACTCCTCCATACAGACCTTCTCCAGATCCTTCAGGTTTCGGGGCTGTCACTGGGCAATACGGACTTTCAGCTCCCTCCAAAGATTTTCTATTGGGTTCAGGTCTGGAGACTGGCTAGGCCACTCCAGGACCTTGAGATACTTCTTACGGAGCCATTCCTTAGTTGCCCTGGCTGTGTGTTTCGGGTCGTTGTCGTGCTGGAAGACCCAGCCACGACCCATCTTCAATGCTCTTACTGAGGGAAGGAGGTTGTTGGCCAAGATCTCGCGATGATTGACCGTCATCTTGAACTTCTTCCATTTTTTCTAATAATTGCGCCAACAGTTGTTGCCTTCTCACCAAGCTGCTTGCCTATTGTCCGGTAGCCCATCCCAGCCTTGTGCAGGTCTACAATTTTATCTCTGATGTCCTTACACAGCTCTCTGGTCTTGGCCATTGTGGAGAGGTTGGAGTCTGTTTGATTGAATGTGTGGACATGTGTCTTTTATACAGGTAACGAGTTCAAACAGGTGCAGTTAATACAGGTAATGAGTGGAGAACAGGAAGGCTTCTTAAATAAAAACTAACAGGTCTGTGAGAGCCGGAATTCTTACTGGTTGGTAGGTGATCAAATACTTATGTCATGCAATAAAATGCAAATTAATTACTTAAAAATCATACAATGTGATTTTCTGGATTTTTGTTTTAGATTCCGTATCTCACAGTTGAAGTGTACCCATGATAAAAATTACAGACCTCTACATGCTTTGTAAGTAGGAAAACCTGCAAAATCGGCAGTGTATCAAATACTTATTCTCCCCACTGTATATATATAGCTATTAAAATTATATATCTATTCAAATATCTTGCATATCTTAATTTCCATCATTATCAATTAATATGCGTAATAATATCGGCAGTTCATGCGAAGGATTGTTACCTATAATCCGGATTGCCATTGTATTACATTACATTTTTGTCAAGCAATTATTATTTTAGCAAACAATTATTGTGGTTCATCCTATATTCTCCCTAACATCCTTACCCCCTTGCAACAGATGTGGGATACACACACACACACAAGCACATGCTCGTACACACTCAACCCCTTTCTTCCACAATCAACCAGAAGCTCAGATGCTCAACGGTTGTTACATCCCAGAGCCCAACTCAAGAAAGGACCTGATTTACGACTGCATATACAGTTATAGCTGTTTGTGAAAGCATGCAAGATTGAGGAAAAATTGGAGATTTGATTAATCTATGTCAAGTCCTAGGTGATGGAGATCAGATCCACCCTCTTCCCCTGAAACACAAACACTCTGGTCCCCCGTTGAAACCATTTTTCCCAAGCATCTCCATGCAGTCAAACCTTTGATTATTTTGTGCCACCAGGGCCACAATAATTTGCCCCCCTCTCTGATTGTCCGAGTGTGACCCACTCCCCATTGGTTACTGCATCCAGTGTTGCCAGCACTGCCACTACCTGGGTGGGGGTACCCCACCAGAATCCCCACCAGCTAGGTACAAGGTCATCATTTTTACATCTACATTTTAGTCATTTAGCAGACGCTCTTATCCAGAGCGACTTACAGTTAGTGAGTGCATACATAATTTTTTTATTTTTCATACTGGCCCCCCGTGAGAATCGAACCCACAACCCTGGCGTTGCAAACGCCATGCTCTACGAACTGAGCTACATCCCTGCCGGCCATTCCCTCCCCTACCCTGGACGACGCTGGGCCAATTGTGCGCCGCCCCATGAGTCTCCCGGTCACGGCCAGCTACGACAGAGCCTGGATGCTGGATGCCACTCATGCTGGACTGAACATTTTCACTAGATGGTGCTAGTGCTCAGTCCTACAGTTGTGCTTACTGTTTCTCTGATATTGTGTGATATGTGTGATTGCCTAATTATTATGTAACATTGAATAAACATTGCATAAATAAAATTAACGTGACTTTTTTTTTTTGGGGGGGGGGTCAATCATTGCAATATCAATTGGAATATCAATAGGCGACAGTGTATACTAAACATGATTAATCAAATCAAAATTAGTCGAAAATAGACATATATGAACGGACCAGATGATACTTGAGGAATCAAGAGAGTGAGAGAAATCACTTTCTGGGGCCCGCCCATGCCCTCCGTTGTAGGTCAAAAATCCTTAAATTATTTTTTTCTCTCCCAGATCTGTGATTGAGCGTGTAGCATAGACCGAAGCTCCTCCCCTGTCTGTCTTTGTCTCCACCCGAATGTAGACATGGCGGTTGTGTCCATATCAAAAAGGATTGCAAAGCGTTGGAAATAATGCTGCTAGCTAAATCAGTTATCACTGCTGTATGTCAGCAGGGTTTACGTTGTGGAGTTCTTCTCCAGCAAGTTAGTGAATTAACCCACGGTCTGCAGCAAGGCGTTCGCAAAGTTATGCAAATGGAATGCTTGCTAGTAAAGTTGTTTGACGAACTAAAACTTGCTTGCTAGCAGCTAACTACAAGGCTAGATGGCTAACGTTACTAGTAACTTGCTCGCGAGGAGGACAACCAGATCTCGCCAGCACAGCACAGCAGCTGTGTGTTGACACGAAAGGAGAAAGCCAGCAAGCTATCCCAGCCTAATCCAAATGGGGAAATATATCTCGAAAGATTGACTGTATTGTTGACTTCACATTTTCAGCAGTTTCTTTTTTAGATGTTGTTATTGTGCTAACCAGTTAGCTAACTTTTGACATTTTCTCACTGAAATCTTGGAAGTATCCATTAATCATCTTTAGTTATTGGACTCAAACTATTAATAATGTTTTCTGTGAAGCCCTTGAAACCAACCTTTAAATCATACCTTCTGCCTGTACAGGTGAGTAACCTTACTTGACTAACTACGCTACGTTACTGTGTCCTCAGCATACTACTTGCTACTACTGAGTAGCTAGCTAGGATTACTAGTCAAATTCACTAGCCAACGTTATATGTTGTGCATAATTTAGTTTGTTTATTATAGACTAACAATCTGTCTCTGTTTTATCTTTCATGCAGACGGATCTGAAAAAAACTCCACAGCCACCAATCAAGAAGTTAGAGGCCAGGTTACTTCCAGGTGAGTTTACAGTTCCCTCTGCCACAGCTAGCTTGTTGTTTCTGACTGTTCTATTTGTAACGAACAACTATGTGATGAGTACGTAGAGGCTACAGAAATTAAACCACCCATCAAAATATCCCTCTCCTGAAAAAGAACCAGTAAAGGCTGATCTCATCCAGCTATAGTCTTTCTTCTCATGCTAATGTAGAATATTACTGATATTTCAATGACCAGCCAGTGAAAACTCCTGTATCTCTTCAGCTAAATGTAATTGCTTGTTTTGAATGTGTAGTCTGTCAGTGCACCTCACTTGTGTTTTTGCGCACAGGTCTTTTGCATCCCTTATTGTCGCATCATTAGGCTGTGGTAATCTAATCTAATTTAGTCTATTTTTTCTGGGCTGTCTCAAGTCACCGTGGCAATACAGTGCCTGCCTGGCCCCCTTTTCATCACAGCAACTAACAGCGCATAATTTATCCTAAATGAACAATTGGCTGGTTCATATATTACTTCCTGACTTTGCAGTCAAATCCCAGCTCAGTGAGCATGCGAGTTGGTTAATGACTGTGTCTTAATAACAAGAGATTCACAAGGGTATTTCCTGTTCACAGAGCATCAGTCACTAAAAGCTATTTCCCCCATTTTGTGTGTTTTTCTTCACCACTTTGAGTTTTTAATGTGTGGCAGGGCCTCAGGTTTGTTGACTTTTTTTCCATTAAGTTGGCAGTGTTTGTGTGTGAGCTAAACTGACACCCAACCTCTCCATATTAGTAGTCCCCTGTAACTCAGTTGGTAGAGCATGGCGCTTGCAATGCCAGGGTTGTGGGTTCGTTTCCCACGGGGGGCCAGTATGAAAATGTATGCACTCACTAACTGTAAGTCGCTCTGGATAAGAGCGTCTGCTAAATGACTAAAATATAAATGTAAATATTACATTTTGCTCCAGTGTATTAAGATATACAAAGAGATATTTAAAACAGAATGAAAATAATAAAGTCTGTATGTGTCTAACCATCACTCATCAAACTGTGTACAGGGAGGGGCCACTCAATTCATGTTGCCCGCCACCCATAAACTATTGTTGCAAAAAAGCCAGTTATTATTCTTTAGCATTTCGGTTAATTCATTTCGGTTCATTCATGGCTGTTATGGAGGCCGAAGCTCACTGATATAACGGAGCAAGATTGAGAAACACTTGACCATGTAACATTGAAGTATCATTATGCCTATATCTGAGTCTGAGGACATGTAGCGAACCAGAGGTTGTGCTGTGGGACTAATTTCCCTTTGAGGCGTTCACTCCTTATAATTAAGCAACAGAGGATGGACCTTCCCTCTTTCTAAAATAGAAGCTCCTTGCATGGTTTTGCTTGCACAGCTGAAATAAAAACAAAACCTCCCTCTTGCACTTTATTGCCGTTTTCTCTGCTCTGCAGGGCTCTACACTGACCTTTTTTTTTTTACAAGGAGCACATATGCGCCTAAGTTGGAAAATGTTTGTGTACACAAAGACATTTAGGAGCACAATCACAAATATTTGATGTAATAAAGCTAGAATCCTTAATTTTTAAGAATTGCACAGGAAAATATTTAGGTGCTTATGTGAGTAAAACGGTCAAACTGTAGAGCCCTGCTTTGGTTGTATAGTTTTACCCTTCTCTATTTCTCTAATCTATTTCAGTGGATCCTTTTAAGACGCTGGTATGTTTTATAGAGGGATACCCACTGTTACTTGACTGTAGGTTATTGGTTATTGATGGGTTCTGCCAGTGTGTTACAGTGAATGCTGGCAGTGAAAGTAAACATGACACACTCACACAGTGCCACCTGTCCTTGCTTTACAAAATAAGATTGTCACCTCCTCTCACTCAACTGGCCTACAAACAGTTTAGCCTACAGTGAATCTCAGGTTTGATTTTACACCATGGTCTATGTTCTGATCTTTAGTTGATGGCTCTGTGAGGGTGGCCCTGAATGGAGAGACTTTGGCTTTGTTTGTCGTCCTCCCAGCTCCTCGGCAGTGTTGCTATGCGACTTGAATGTGACCCATTCAAATGGGTCTCTGATTGAATGGTCCATTCAAGTCCACATCACACTGACCAGACAGAGGACCACAGCGGGGCTTACTCATCTCAACAAATCAGCTCAACAGTCCTCCTCTCTCTTCCATCTTCCTCACTCTCTCTCTCTGTTCATCTGTCCTCCTCCACCTCCTCCCTTAATTTCTGTAGCTCTCTGTTTATCTCTCTGTCCTCCTCAGATTCTCTCTTCATCCCTGGCTGGATCCTTTGCTGGCTGCCCAACTCTAATTAGATAGTGAACAGTCTGCTTGCGTTTCTCCCTCTTCTCTCTGAATGTTTTTATTTTTCTCCTCCTCTAGGCCTAGTTCTCTCTCTCTCTCTCTCTCCCCCCACTCTCTCTCTCTCTCTCTCTTACTCTCTCTCTTTGTATGTGACTTGTGTTTCTGGAGTGTGTATGGATGTCCAAACATAGATGACCAACATTGACTGTCTTGTTGAGGCTACTCGCTGACACACTGTCACCTTTATTACACACATTCATCTGAACTGTAGGCATCTGTAATGATAGTTAGACAGGTACTGTAATAGATTTTCCACTGTTGTTTTCTCAGCAGGAGAATGTGAGCTGAGGCCTCTCCTGAGGCGGTGGGGAAATGTGCCTGGCAGTGGTGTTTGCATGAGGCAAAGCTAACTCTCTGTACACTTCTCACCTCTCTAGGCCCACATACTCCTGCTGTCCTCAGTCTCTCTTCACAACTTAGTTTGTTAGCACAATAGTTCTGCTCTGTTAATCACACAACCTATGCTAATATGGGCAAAGTCATGAGTTTCTCAAAAGGAGGTGTTCTATCGCTATCCATCAACAATGTGTTGGTGTTACTGGCGCACTGTACTTTACTATTGTACACTAGAATGCAGGTGGAATGCTGAAGCGTATCTGTCCCTTTAACGGCTCTCTTTGTGTTGTAACTGAGGCATTTCTCCCTAGTCTCGTGTGACTTAGAGAGGATTGTGATAATCACTGTATACATAGACCATGGTGGGTTTCTCTGAGTCTGTGCCCCTCGCCACCAGCTGTCCAAACTGTGATCTGGTCTGCTATGTGCTGTACACAAACCCAGGAGGCCTGCTTTGAAAACTACAAAAACACAGGAAGAAATGCCAGGTTGTGGTTAGTCAGGTCAGTTGGCAGGTCTGATCACATGACTAGCCGTATTCGCTTTAGGGTTTTGTGGACTTAGTCAAAAAGGAGAACCTCATCCTAGGAAGTGTTTGTTTCCTCCAGTATGGTCACATGATATACATGTTTTTGACATGCCAATCACAAATAGGATAGGCCTTGTGACTATTCTGGATCTGTGTTACCACTGGTCACATGATAGACCCCGACCTTGGCCAACTGACATTTATCTGAATAGGCATTGAAAGTAGCCAACTCTGTGATAAAAAGAGAGTGCTGTGATGTAAGCGGTTGATGACATGAGCACAGTACTGTTTGTTAGATGCTGTGGTAACCCAGGTTACTTACTGGCAGAGTTGCAGTCCAGTGGGGGTTAAAGGTTGCAGTCCAGGCTGTGTGTAGATGTACTGTACTCTTGTGTCAGACCCGTCAGCATTCTGCCTCCCCAAAAGAGGAGTTAACTCATCAAGTCTGCAGATTATTAGACCCAGCTGTGGAAGTAAACACAGTAGTGATGGATTGGGGTGATGGTGGTCGGTAGCTGCCTTGTCCCAGAATTACGAGAGACCACCTATTTTTTCAGTCTCTCTCTCTGTTCCTTGTCTGATCTTAATCCATGCTGAGAAGCATGACAGTAGAACTCCACCCTACTATCCCCACTCCCCATCTCCAATAAGACTCACAGGCCATAACGCTTTATTGTTACATTCTTGTGCATACATTAAATAACTTGTGATGCAGTGACAACGGTTATATAATGTAGCTTGTAAACAATGTTTTACATGGAAACAGGCAAGAACAAATAGGCCTAGCCTTGGACGTAATTCATAAGTAACATGTTCAATTTTGTTTATTTGTCATATACAAGAAGTAGCCTACACAATAACCATCAGCATTTCATTTCACTGTGTACTCCATGTGTATATGAATGTACGGCCAGGCTCTAATTTGAATGTACGGCCAGGCTCTAATTTGAATGTACGGCCAGGCTCTAATTTGAATGTACGGCCAGGCTCTAATTTGAATGTACGGCCAGGCTCTAATTTGAATGTACGGCCAGGCTCTAATTTGAATGTACGGTCAGGCTCAAATTTGTTCATAGACAATGCAGCGCATAATCTGAATGAATGCATCAAAAGAAACCAGCTAAATAGACAGTGACAGATTACAGTTGGGCTGAATGGGTTAAGCTCATGCTGACTCTCAGAGGAAAAACTGTCATTTTGACATGTGAGGATCCTGTTTGCAGTGCTGGGCCTGGTTTTCTTTGGCTGTTCCCTGCCTGTCCTACGGTAACCCTCTGCAAAGCAGCTCCAGCTGTTATGGGCGGGCTGGCCTATAGTCTAGCGACGCTGCAGTGTCACTCACAACCATACTGCCACGATATTAAACCAGAGGGAATCACCACTGCACTGCATTCATGTACTAGTCCATCATACAGTCTCTTCTACTTTAGTTCTTTTCTTCATGCATTGGTAAATTCATGCTTAATCTATCATGGAAAGTCAGGAATTTTGCACTGTGCAAAGGTAGTAGCTTTATTCATTGAACTGGTCATTCTTTAGATTTGAAATGTTTGAGAGAGACAATGGTTTGCCATAAACATTCATGTCCATCAATGTTGCCAGCGAGGTTGAGAGCTCATTACTGTCAGACCTCTTAGGTCCCTGTTCAGTGACACAGGAAACGGCAACATCAATAAAAACAACGTGAATGGTTTAGTCCAGAAACTTACGGCCTAGTTTAGGACTGGGTACACCTGTCTTTGATAAAGAGGGGTTTTGATCTGAATGTAAAACTTGAGAGGAGGACCTCGATCCATCAAGCAGCCTTACTAACCAAAGCAGTCTCTGTCCGTTTGAGGCTGGGCTCAGTTAAACGTTTATGCTGGGCTCTCAGTTCTCTTAATGGCAGATCGTTTTCCCAAGAGGAGGACAACTAGGCCCATCTGATCCCCATTCTCAGGCTCTGGCTCATGGGGTTTCCCTGGCAAGCCTATAGTGCATGGGCTGAGTCTGTGAACTCTCACTGAATGGCCAGAGAGAGAGAGAATGATCCTGGAGTAGAAACAGTCAGCTGTGTGTGTGACTCATGGGCTCTTTTTATATTTAAAAAAAAATACCTCTTGGAGCCGTGTGCATCTGTTTGTGAGGAGGAGAGGAAAGTCCTGTAAATGGAGGGAACTCTCTTTGGTTCAGACACCAGGTTGTTGTCAGGCTGTGGGTGTTTGTGTTTGGTCCTGAGATGCTACTGGAACCAAAGAGGGGTTAAAGGGTGATGAAAGGGTAGAGGTCACAACAGGCTACTAGGCCTATAGGTTAGGGAACAGAGTGTTGTGTTGACCTCCTCTGTCATGAAGAGGTCTAGCTATTCTCTGACAGGTATTTCCATCACCCTGACCCAACGCCTCAGACTCAGGCTGGAATGTGGGGATCATTAGAGCCAATCCGAGGGCCTGAGAGGAGAAATGCACAGATCACTCTCCAGCAGCGTAACAGGATGCCTCTGGCTGGATGGCAGAAACCAGAATGAGACTAGGAGATAGACATCTCAGTATGTGATCATTCCACTTCCATAGCACATTTTCCCCAGCTTCATTCATGTCATATTACTTTGTCATCAGCCCATGTTTTGTTTCATCGCTATAAGACTTAAAATAACTTTGGTTAACACTCACACCTTCTATTTCTGTCCCTTTTAGGCCGTTCTACCTCTTTTCCTTGAAACCTCAATGTCATGGTTAATGTTACTTCCTGTTTGTCATCGTCAGGGGAGATTGTGGTGAACGAAGTGAGCTTTGTGAGGAAGTGCATCGGAGCAGACAGCAGCCACGATGACCTGTGGGGGAAGCTGATATGCACCAACTTCAAGGTTTCCTTCATCACCCATGATGCCCTCCCCAAGCAGGTATGTTTTCAATGTGAGTGCACTCCAGTGGAGGCTGCTGAGGGGAGGACGGCTGGAGCGAATGGAATGGCATCAAACACATGGATACCATTCCACTGATTCCGCTCCAGCCATTACCACAAGCCCCTCCTCCCCAATTAAGGTGCCACCAACCTCCTGTGGTGCACTCTCTATGTGTGCCTCTCTCTCAAAAATGACTGTAGCTCTATGGGCTGGTTACCCGGACACGGATTAATCCTAGACAATCTCCATTCAAATGAATTTTTAGTCCAGGACTAGTCTTAATCTGTGTCCCGGGAAACTTGCCCTACATGATCACATGTGAGTTTATTGTAGGTTTATTGGAGAAGGTGTGGTCAAGGTTGTCACATGATAAGCAGCATGTGAGATAGGCCATGTGGGAGGTCTGTTGTGAAATACCCATCAACAAAAAGGTTTGTAGGACACTGCCGTCTTTCTTCCAGTGTCAGCTTTCAGATGTTTTATGTGACTTCCCACACTGTGCTTATAGACCACCTGTTTTGTGTTAAGCTTATTTTGATGCCTTTGCCTCTTAAACAACTTAAGTGAGTCATCCCAGACATGTTTACTTGAAAAATGAAAGTTTATAGGACTCATGGACGGATTGCACTATTCTTGGACATCCTGCCTTGATCTTAATGGTCCTTATTGATTGCAAAATATTGCAAAATTGTGGATTTGCCTTTTCAGTTCAAATGGGGTAACTTTTAGATTCACACATTTGCTTGAAAGTTGTCAATGATCTCCATTCATCAGCTGATCCCATGTTAATCATTACATTTCACTGAAATACAAAAACGACAGTATCATCATCAGTGTTCCTGGCAGAGCATTTCCAGATGGTTCAAATGTTCTCTTCTCAGCTGTTGATAACATGTGGTGCAGTCCCACTCCGCTCCAGTTAAAACCTCTGGTCTCCCTGGCACTATTGTGTGCTTTTGCCCCAGGTACCTCCACTCCTCACCATGTTGTGTTCTGTTGTCTCCTCAGAGGTTCCAGGTTGCCAACCGGCTGCTTGGAGAGCACGATGTTCCCCTGGCGTGTGTGGAGCAAGTTGTGACAGGTAAGACCATGTGCCATTATGTTAACCATGGTGACGAGATGGTAAACAAACTCAAACAGCCATCTCCACCAAAAGTAGCCTGCTCATATGACACTGGCAGTCCCTTTAGTCCAGAAATAAAGAGCAGTTTAGGTTCCTGACAGGCCATGTTGTTTTTTTAATAGCCAGTGTAAAATAATTGACCTATGAAACGCATTGCCCCCGACGATTCTGTCTCTATGACAGATATCGTGGATTTTGTCAGACCCCGCACACTTCTTGGACTGCTACGGCTGTAATGCTTCATCTATACCCAGCTGTTGAATTATGAATGCACAATGGGCAGGTTGTGCTCTCCTCCTCTGAAATCCCCTTGAATGTTTTTTCTGATGGCTGAGGGACCAGTTGGATCTCTCAGATACAATCATGTCCCATCTGGCTGACCCCAGTCTCTGTGTTTAGGTTTTATTTGACTGTCCTGTACCAGGCTGATTTTAGACACACACCATTGACTGAAACCAGTTTTGGTGGCTGCCTGCCTTCTCCCCCTGGTCACCAATCCGTTTTTAGTATCTCCATAGATGAGGTCATAGCCCAGACAGAGGGCCCTGGGCCTGGCTGAAAAGCCTGGTCACGATTAACCTTGTTTGTGTAACTCATAGCCTCACTCTGCTGACATGGCTGGGAGCGTGGGGCTGTTGTGCTGAGCTGATAGAGCATGAAGCAATGTTTTCTACTCATTACGCCCTCAAACAAAGGTCCTTTATGAGAGCCTTGGCTTGGCAAAAACACTGACCCAACGCTCCACCCACCACTCTGTAATGGACAAACAGAGACAAGGCATAGGTCTTGTCCTTGTCTGGTAAGTTAGTGAAGGTGTGTGCAGGTGGTGGTACACAGGCCAAGGCTGGATTCCTGGTGTGCCATGGAAACATGCATATCATCCCCTACTGAACAAAAATATAAACGCAACATGCAACAATTTCAAGATTTTACTGAGTTACAGTTCATATAAGGAAATCAGTCAATTGAAATATATTAATTAGGCCCTAATCTATGGATTTCACATGACTGGGCAGGGGCGCAGCCTGGGGTGGGCCTGGGAGGGCATAGGCCCACCCACTTGGGAGCCAGGTCCACCCACTGGGGTGCCAGGCCCAGCCAATCAGAAATAGTTTTTCCCCACAAAAGGGCTTTATTACAGACAGAAATATTCCTCAGTTTCTTCAGCTGTCCGGGTGGCTGATCTCGACGATCCCGCAGGTGAAGAAGCCGGATGTGTCCTGGGCTGGCATGGTTACAGGTGGTCTGCGGTATTTAGTCCGGTTGGACATATTGCCAAATTCTCTAAAACGACGTTGGAGGCAGCATATGGTAGAGAAATATCATTCAATTCTCTGGAAACAATGGTGGTGGACATTCCTGCAGTCAGCATGCCAATTGCACACTCTGTCAAAACTTGAGGGCATTGTGTTGTGTGACAAAACTGCACATTTTAGAGTGGCCTTTTATTGTCCCCAGCACAAGGTGCACCTGTGTAATGATCATGCTGTTTAATCAGCTTCTTGAAATGCCACACCTGTCAGGTGGATGGATTATCTTGGCAAATGAGAAATGCTCACTAACAGGGATGTAAACAAATTTGTGCACAACATTTTTGACAAATAAGCTTTTTGTGTGTATGGAACATTTCTAGGATCTTTTATTTCATCTCATGAAACATGGGACCAACACTTTACATGTTGCATTTATAATTTTGTTCAATATATTTAAGAGGGTGAAATAAACAGTTGAGTCTTGTGAGCCACTGGAAAATGTTTTACCATATGTTATACTCGAGGAACCTCTGAAAAAGATGCTTCTGTATTCAGAATAACAGAAGTATATTTCGAGTACTATGCCAGAAAGGGATGTCCGGACATGAAGAATGAGGTTCCTCATTTGTTTTTAGACAGCTGAAGTCTATTGGATCAATTTCAGTTCCTACTTGATTGAATTTCTCTGAAGCTCTGTGGTGACATAGATACTCGGTTTTTCTGTGGGAAGCTGCCCACTTCACACATTTTACATTTACCCCACACTATACTAGTGTTGTCCCAGATCTGTACTGTATGTGCTTTAGCCCAACTCCTCTACAAAACATTAGGCCTACAGACCTGGGTCCAGGCTACTACTGTTACTATTTGACTCTCCATTCGCCCTAATAAGCACTGTCTCACCCCTGGTCTTTGTTCTGGGTTTGTTCCTCTCAGTGAACGATGCTAAGGGGAAGCAGAAGGTTCTGGGATCTAACCAGAAGCTGAAGTTTAATCCCACCGAGCTCATCCTTTACTGCAAGGACTTCCGAATCATCAGGTTCCGCTTCGACGAGGCTGGGCCCCAGAGTGCCAAGAAGGTTTGTGATATAAGCTTTTTGAACAAAATGGACACTTGATGTATAAACACAATATAAATTGACGTGGTGTTGACTCTTGAATTGAACCTGAGGCTAGATACCAGCCATCTGGCATGGTAATCCTCCAACTCAACTCCGGCTCACCACTACAGTGGATTAGTTTCTAAGAGGATTTCACTGGTAATTCACTGTGGAATGGAATGCCTCTGCTGTCAGTATAGCTGTTCCCAAAAGACTGCCACTGTCAGATTTTAAATATTTTTTAATCATCTCTTACTAGCCTACATGATTATCAGAGTTAAGTCCCATTATGTGAGTATGATAGCAAACATGCTGGCAATGACACTAGTTAATCATTCATTTTGGATGAGTAAAAATGCCATGTGTACTATGTCCTCTTCTCCCAGAAAACCAAACAGGACTGTATGTGTATGGTAACCCCATTGACAACCACACTGAGGTGACTTTTGGAGAGCGTCTCCTTGAAGCGTTCTGGGGCCATGTAGGCTGCCCTGTATCCACCTTTCTATGCCTTTCCTCCTCTCTCCACCCCTCTTCTCCTCTCTCCACCCCTCTCCACCCCTCTTCTCCTCTCTCCATCCGGTTGAGCTGCTCTCTGATGAGGGGATTAGAGTCTATCTCTCTTCCATCTGGCTGGGAGCCTGAGATTGGCCAGAATTAGCTCAGTCTGACTCAGGAAGAGTCAGGGTGGCGTTGTCAGCATGTTATTAACAGATTGTATTGCTTTACATTTGTATTGCCTTTTAAGGCACTGTTCTCTAATAACTTTTTTTCCAAGTAAGAGAACGAAGTCAATGAGATTATGCTTAGATATGTGTACAGAATGACTCGATACACATGTCATGGAGCGCTGCACAACAGCTGTTGTTGCTAGGCAACCTACGTAGAAACTAGTGTAAAATGAACCTTCCTCATTGTTACTCTGACTCATCTCTCTGAGCGAGTGGTGGATTATAGTCACAGATGTGTCATGTCTTTAGAGTGGAACCAAAACACCGCTCTTCTGTACACAGCCCATCTGAAATTAGCCCACCCAACTACCTCATCCCTATATTGTTATTTATTTTTGCTCTTTTGCACCCCAGTATCTCTATTTGCACATAATCTCTTGCACATCTAGCATTCCAGTGTTAATACTATTGTAATTATTTTGCACTATAGCCTATTTATTGCCTTACCTCCATAACTTGCTACATTTGCACACACTGTATAAATATTTTCTGTTGTATTTTTTACTTTATGTTTTTTACCCCATATGTAACTCTGTGTTGTTTTTATCGCACTGCTTTGCTTTATCTTGGCCAGGTCGCAGTTGTAAATGAGAACTTGTTCTCAACTGGCTTACCTGGTTAAATAAAGGTGGAAAAAAAAAAGGGCCCCAGTACAGCATGTGAAGAGTCGTGGGCGAGGTGTGTTGGTGGTTTGTTTTCCTCAATGCTTGTTTTTGTTTGGTGTGAGGAAACAACGGCTTCCCTAATTTCTGACAGCAAAGCCAACAAACTAACAGGCCTGGTAAGATCATTCACCTGGAGTTACCGAGCCCTGTCGGCCTGTTGAGCTCATGCTGGAAAATGTGAGGCAGTGAGAAGGAGCAGGGGAGAAGGGGGCCGGGTAGGAGGCGAGAAGGGGGCCGGGTAGGAGGGGAGAAGGGGGCCGGGTAGGAGGCGAGAAGGGGGCCGGGTAGGAGGGGAGAAGGGGGCCGGGTAGGAGGGGAGAAGGGGGCCGGGTAGGAGGGTGAAGGAGTCACCCTGGATATAACCTGCCAGCCCCTTAGAACATGTGAAGCCCGGATAGAGAGGCTTTAAAGTCACCACAAAACCAACCAGGGAACAAAACGTCTATTCAGCCCTCTAGTTTCTGATCACTCTGCAAACACAGATGCTGTTGCACCCCAGGTTCAGTTCCAAAGGTCTCAGAAGCCAGGGGGCTGGAAGTGAATTCTAATGTGTTATGTGGAGGAAGGCCTCCAAGAGTTCTTAGCAGCAGCCCTGAGTCCTCTGCATGGCCGTGGCAGGGAGACCGCAGACCTCAGTATATCTTCCTGACCGCCTGCTTCTATGTACACACGCTGACCTTAGATCTCCAGCCAGAGCGCATGGTGCGTGCCACATGGGAGCAGTTTATGTCAGAGAAAGGGGGAGCTAGCGCTTGAAGCGCCTCAATACACACCTGAAAGATATTGAGCTAAGAAGTAACTATCAACATTACCTGGCTACTCTGCCTTCCAGGGCTGTTAAAAAAATAAAAAATCTACAGAGACATTAACATCTTTGTTGGTTGGGTAACCCATGACAATTAGATTTGTTCTGTCTTGGGCACTCTTATGACAGCTGTTTTGAAGTCCAATGGTAACTCCTGGTTGTTTACGATTACACATGGTGTTTTTTAAGAATGGGTGTTTCTGCTGTAAGTATTGGAATGGTACAGAGTGGGATTTAACTGCGATCCCTCACTCCCTGTGTCTATTTCTTCATAGGGACACACAGTGTAATTACTGTGGGGAGCTAAACCAGGGCTCGGTCCTTGTTTTTCTTTGTGACATATGGAATGAAGCCATTCTATAATAGCTTATTATACCGAAGGAAATTACAGAGTTGGGAGCAGTGTCTCTCAAATACACATGCAGACGCGCGCACACACACATACATGAACACAAAAGTTCCTTCCTTGCGTCCTGTGTTTTGGTCGCAGCTCCTCCGGTGAATGGACAGCATTGTGTGATTCTATGCCACTGCCACTGACGGAAAGCATAAAAAACTGCCAGACTTTCAAATGTTTGCTTTGCTTTTCAATGTTAGCCTTTTATTAGAAATAGAGCGACATAAATGAATGTCTTAGTCACTCACTTAAAATGAAATACAGCACGTGGTGAAATTACTTGTATTTTTATTAATGGTGAAATTCAAGGTTGAAAATAAATTTGACTCTTCATAGTATTCCTGTGTGAGGGTTCTATCTACCCATCAAGGTGCAGAAAACATGATTTAGTGCCTCAGCTGTTGAGAATGTCTGGGCTAAATAATAAATTCTGCTCTTTAAATGGTGGGATTTTGTAGCAACGGTAGAGGCCCCTTGTAGCCAAGCCACAGCTTGAAGTGTTATTGAAAGTTCCCATGCAGGTTCCTGAGTCTTTAGCCAGTAACAGCATCTCCTCCAAATGAATAAAAACAACTCCTGAAACAGGTGAACAGAAAAACATTCTGGCCGTGGTCAGCAGACTCCGAGGCAGCCAGAACGTGCCTCAGAATGCATTTCAAAGACACAAATCATTGAAAAGGGACAGCATATCCTATGGAGTCACTGAAAACTGTCTTCATTCACAATACAGAATTATCTGGCGTCACGTCTCAAAGATTCTAGCAGACCATCTCCCTTAGATTGTATTGTTGGGGCCAGGAGTTTTTCCAGACTCCCTGACCTGACAAGTGGTGCATTTCCATACAGGATTTACCCCAGTGTTTTACCCAAAAGGCTCAGACTTTTCTGTTTCCATCTATGCGTGCCGGCACCCGTGTCTCACTGGGCCATGGCTCCGGCAGATCTGCTCTCACCTGGGGCCAAAGCCAGGCCACTGGTACTTTTCAGGTTGCAATTACATAACAATGGTTAACTATGAACTTTAACACCTTCTCACAAAGCAAGTCCTCACTGCTAGCCCTAGCTATGGAAACAATGTCCCTAGTATAAGATAAAGGCATATACACTAGTGTAACACTGGTGTTACAGTCAAAAAGCAGCAAAGGAAAACTTCCAGGCTCCAGTTTTAGGCTATAACTATGCCCTACAGTGCATTCGGAAAGTGTTCAGACCCCTTTACTTTTTCCACATTTTGTTACAGCCTTATTCTCAAATGGATGAAATAGTATTTTTCCCTCATCAATCTACACACAAGACCCCATAATGACAAAGCAAAACACAGGTTTTTAGAAATTTTTGCAGATGTATAAAAAAATTAACAGAAATATCAAATTTACGTAAGTATTCAGACCCTTTACTCAGTACTTTGTTGAAGCACCTTTGGCAATGATTAAAGGCTCAAGTCTTCTTGGGTATGACGCTACAAGCTTGGCACACCTGTATTTGGGGAGTTTTTCCCATTTTTCTCTGCAGATCCTCTCAAGCTCTGTCAGGTTGGATGGGGAGCGTCGCTGCACAGACATTTTCAGGTCTCTCCAGAGATGTTCGATCGGCTTCAAGTCTGGGCTCTGGCTGGGCCACTCAAGGACATTCAGAGACTTGTCCCGAAGCCACTCCTGCGTTGTCTTGGCTGTGTGCTTAGGGTCGTTGTCCTGTTGGAAGGTGAACCTTCGCCCCAGTCTGAGGTCCTGTACGCTCTGGAGCAGGTTTTCATCAAGGATCTCTTTGTACTTTGCTCCGATCATATTTGCCTCAATCCTGACTTGTCTCCCAGTCCCTGCCGCTGAAAAACATCCCCTCAGCATGATGCTGCCACCACCATGCTTCACCGTAGGGATGGTGCCAGGTTTCCTCCAGACGTGACGCTTGGCATTCAGGCCAGAGTGTTAAATCTTGGTTTCATTAGACCAGAGAATCTTGTTTTCTCATGGTCTGAGATTCTTTAGGTGCCTTTTTGCAAACTCCAAGCGGGCTGTCATGTGCCTTTTTACTGAGGAGTGGCTTCCGTCTGGCCACTCTACCATAAAGGCCTGATTGATGGAATACTGCAGAGATGGTTGTCCTTCTGGAAGGTTCTCCCATCTCCACAGAGGAACTCTATCACTCTGTCAGAGTGACCATCGGGTTCTTGGTCACCTCCCTGACCAAGGCCCTTCTCCCCCGATTGCTCAGTTTGGCCGGGCGGCCAGCTCTAGGATGAGTCTTGGTGGTATCAAACGTATTCTATTTAAGAATGATGGAGGCCGCTGTGTTCTTGGGGACCATCAATGCTGCAGACATGTTTTGGTACCCTTCCCCAGATCTGTGCCTCGACACAATCCTGTCTCGGAGCTCTATGGACAATTCCTTTGACCTCATGGCTTGGTTTTTGCTCTGACATGCACTGTCAACTGTGGGACCTTTATATAGACAGGTGTGCCTTTCCAAATCATGTCCAATCAATTGAATTTACTACACTCCAATGAAATTGTAGAAACATCTCAAGGGTGATCAATGGAAACCGGATGCACCTGAGCTCAATTTCGATTCTCATAGCAAAGGGTCTGAATACTTATATAAATAAGGTATTTCTGAAAACCTGTTTTCGCTTTGTCATTATGGGGTATTGTGTGTAGATTGCTGAGGAAAAACGTTAATGCTATCCATTTTAGAATAAGGCTGTAATGTAACAAAATGTGGAAAAAGTCAACGGGTCTGAATACTTTCCGAATGCACTGTATGTACTGTATATTTGCCTGGACCTGTTCAGTTCCTTCCTTTTGAAGTCATGTGTGTTGCCCCACCCTGTGATTTAAGGTTTGCCTGGCCATCGCTCACTACTCCCACCCCGCAGATCCCCAGCTGCTGTTTGGTTTTGAGTACGTAGGGAAGCAATACTACGGATCTTTGGGTAGGTACACAGTACACTGGTTAATCATCTGGTTCTGAGTGAAAAGGCTTTGACACACCCTTATTCCCTGTGACCTGCCAAACTGTTCAAGCTATCAATAGCATCCCCACTGTACATGTCTTGACATGTGAGGAACCTAAAGGAAAACATGCTGAATACACTGTTAACACAACAATGTGATCGATTGAGTTTTGTTGAAACACTGGGGCATTGGTTGTATCAAATGTGGCTCTTCAATAAAGAACAGATATTTACAATTGTTGCAATGTTTGAGTTGAAGGAAACACAGCAAGCAGGTGTGTGTCTTTAATTTGCATGCGCTCACTGTTACATGTGAAGGGGAGCGAGTTAATGGAGGAGATCCCGGAGGAGGACTGCAGATACCCCTATTTGACCGGCCCTCTGAATGGGACAGAGAGATCAAGAGAACGGGTGCAGCAGAGTGGAGGGTGTGCTCCATCAATGAGGGCTACGTTGTCTCACCCAGGTGGGGCCCACATAGTTTAGGGGAGTGGGGAGGGAGGGTTCTGCAGGCCTGAGCTCATTTTCTAAATGACATCATGGATTATTACCAGATTTGGATTATGATTAACATAGCTCATTAGAGTGTCTTAATCCTCATCAGGCATAACGGTAACGCTTTATGTAATACACTTAGGTAATGGCTTACATTAACACTTTATGTAATATAATCTTTGTTGAGATGGAAATGTAGTAATTGCTGCACTTGCTGCCACAGATTTGAGGTTAGATCTTTTCATATTGTGGTGAACCATTCAGAATCTGCTGTGGCTAATATGGCGCCTGACTCAATGACATAAAATGTTAACCTCTTGTCCATTTGGAGCAACTCTGCATATTTCCCTCCTATCTTTCTCTCTCCAGTCTCCCAGAGTACTTTGTGGTCCCAGTGTCCCTGGCGGATCAAGACCTGAAGCAGTACTTATGTTTTTTCACTGCTCGGCCGCATCCCTGTGAGTGGCCGGCCTCTTTCATCCCCAGAAAACAACAGCTTTTGCTTAATAAAAGCCTTTCTCACTGTTTTAGACAGAATTCCCTAGACAGACCATTTCTATCAATTATTAATGACTCTGATTTGTTAAGTGCTTTGAGAGGAGTGACAATGCATTTCAGCGTATGTGAGTGTTTGTAAGTGAGAGAACGAGGGAGACTTTGTGTGTGACTGCTGAACCATGACAAGCTGGTGTGTGTGTGTGTGTTTCCCCAAGTTGTGGTGCTGGAATCACCCCAACGGGAGTGCCCTGGTGCGCATGGCCAGCATCAGTGACCCACTGCAGCAGAGGAAGCTGGACCAGAGGTACAATAAGACTGAATAGAATATCAATGAATACATTTGTATTTGTTGATGTTTTCATATTGTTTACTACAATCATCTGTTTTCAATTTTCCTTTCAAATAGTGTGATTATCATGTCAGCACTGTGATTTGTTCTTTTGGCATAACTGACAAGCGAGATTGCCAAACTATTCTGTCCAGACTCGCAGTACCAAAGATAAGTAAATAAACTGCTTGTCAAATAAGCAGTGCTGTTAAGACCATTTCCAACAGTCTTTTCCTGCTCTGTGCTGTGGTAGGATATGTAGTGCCATAACAAAGAGCCACCCACAGCGCAGTGACGTCCTCAAGTCTGACCTGGACAAGAACCTGCCCAACATCCAGGACATCCAGGCTGCCTTTGTCAAAGTGCGGCAGATCTGTGTCATCGGTAAGTTGGAGGAATTGAAATGTTGGGCCTCCCGAGTGGCTCAGCGGTCTAAGGCACTGCATCGCAGTGCTTGAGGCGTCACTACAGCCCCGGGTTCGATCCCAGGCTGTGTCACAGCCGGCCGTGACCGGGAGACCCATGAGGCGGCACACAATTGGCCCAGCGTCGTCTGGGTTAGGGGAGGGTTTGGCCAGCCGGGATTTCCTTGTCCCATCGCGCTCTAGCGACTCCTTGTGGTGGGCTGGGCGCCTGCAAGCTGACTTCGGTCGCCAGTTGGATGGTGTTTCCTCTGACACATTGGTGCGGCTGGCTTCCGGGTTAAGCGAGCAGTGTGTCAAGAAGTAGTGCGGCTTGGCAGGGTCGTGTTTTGGAGGACGCATGGCTCTCGACTTTCGCCTCTCCCGAGTCCGTAGGGTAGTTGCAGCGATGGGACAAGACCGTAACGACCAATTGGATATCACGAAATTGGGGAGAAAAAGGGGTAAAAGTAAAAATAATAAAATATATATATATATAATAATAATACAAAATATATAATGAATATGTGATAAAAAAAAATCCTAAGTCGTTTTTTAATGAAGGCACTTTGTTGTTCTTAGGCTTTTATTGCTGCTCTTAGGGATTCTGAAAGCTCTTTGGATGTTTCACTGTGTGTTTGTTTGTGTGCAGAGCCCTTTGAGGAGTCTGAGGAGAAGTGGCTGTCGTCCATGGAAAGCTCTCGATGGCTGGAGTATGTCAGGTATGTAGAAATATTTAGTCGCCACTGGCGTTCAGAGCCCTGCAAAATGACCTCCAGCAGGCCACAAATGTGCATGTGTCTGCTCAAACGGTCAGAAACAGACTCCATGAGGGTGGTATGAGGGCCCGACGTCCACAGGTGGGGGTTGTGCTTACAGCCCAACACCGTGCAGGACGTTTGGCATTTGCCAGAGAACACCAAGATTGGCAAATTCGCCACTGGCGCCCTGTGCTCTTCACAGATGAAAGCAGGTTCACACTGAGCACATGTGACAGACGTGACAGAGTCTGGAGACGCCGTGGAGAACGTTCTGCTGCCTGCAACATCCTCCAGCATGACCGGTTTGGCGGTGGGTCAGTCATGGTGTGGGGTGGAATTTCTTTGGGGGGCCGCACAGCCCTCCATGTGCTCGCCAGAGGTAGCCTGACTGCCATTAGGTACTGAGATGAGATCCTCAGACCCCTTGTGAGACCATATGCTGGTGCGGTTGGCCCTGGGTTCCTCCTAATGCAAGACAATGCTAGACCTCATGTGGCTGGAGTGTGTCAGCAGTTCCTGCAAGAGAAAGGCATTGATGCTATGGACTGGCCCGCCCGTTCCCCAGACCTGAATCCAATTGAGCACATCTGGGACATCATGTCTCGCTCCATCCACCAACGCCACGTTGCACCACAGACTGTCCAGGAGTTGGCGGATGCTTTAGTCCAGGTCTGGGAGGAGATCCCTCAGGATACCAACCGCCACCTCATCAGGAGCATGCCCAGGCGTTGTAGGGAGGTCATACAGGCACGTGGAGGCCACACACACTACTGAGCCATGAAGTTTAGTTTAGAAAAGTACTAGCATTGACAAACGCTCCAGCTGGTTCTCTCTCTCTCTCTACCATCTGGTGTATATATTAGTCCTTTTATTTACACTTTTTAATGGTGGTAATATTTACAGAACAAGTACAGGATCATTTTGGTTGGACTCAGCTTTTGGGCAGAGTTAATGAATGTCGTACTTAAGAAGATGTATGTGTAAATGTTACATATTTGTGCCTAGAGTAAAGTCAACTGTATCCTTTCATATTCCTGGCTCCAGGGCCTTCCTGAAGCATTCAGCCGAGGTAGTCTACTTGCTGGAGGGAAAACATGTGTCTGTCATTCTGCAAGGTAAAGAAACACATGGTTTTGTCCTTTAGTTGTTTGTCTGTCTGTCTGTTTGCTGTCTGTGTGTGTCTTGTCTGTCTGTCTGCCTGTCTGTCTAACCTGTATTTCTCACTTTTATTTTCTCTCTCTCTCTCGTCTCTCTCCTCTCTCCAGAGGAAGAAGACCGGGACCTGAGCTGTGTGGTGTCCTCTCTGGTACAGCTGATGCTGGACCCTCACTTCCGTAGCCTCGCTGGCTTCCAGAGCCTGGTGCAGAAGGAGTGGGTGATGGCTGGCCATCGGTTCCTCGACCGGTGCAACCATTTGAAGAAGAATGACAAAGAGGAGGTAGGCTCTGTCTATTTGATACTTGACATGTTGCTTGACATGGAGATGTACTTTGAAATGTCATTGTTTTTGTGCCCAGTGATTTTAATCATTTTACATTTTTAGTCATTTAGCAGACGCTCTTATCCAGAGCGACTTACAGGATCAATGAAGGTTAAGTGCCTTGCTCAAGGGCACATCAGCAGATTGTTCACCTAGTCGGCTCAGGGAGTCAAACCAGCAACCTTTCGATTACTGGCCCAACGCTTTTAATCGCTAGACTACCTGCCACCCTTAATCACAATATTCTCTACCTTTCCTCCTCTTCCTCTCCTCCATTCCCTCAGTCTCCTCTGTTCCTGCTGTTCCTGGACTGTGTGTGGCAGATTATAAATCAGTACCCAGCAGCCTTTGAGTTCACTGAGACCTACCTGACTGTGCTCAGTGACAGCATGTGGATCCCTGTCTTCAGCACCTTCCTCTTCAACTGTCCCCAGCAGCGCACTGAGAACAGCATGGTGAGGGGCTCACACACACAAAAAGACACAAATACAGGAAGCTCCCCCTCGACCCTCAACAACAAAATTGCGATTGTATTCAACTCCGTCAACACACCTCTGATATGATGCAGCTCAGAACTGTGTGCAGCTGTGTGCAGTATGAGTAACCATACCTGTCCTCCTCCACAGGACTTTGCTAAGAGTAAGTGCATCCCTCTGGGAAAAGAGACGGCCTTGCGTTTCCCCCCTGTCTGGGACTGGTCACAGCAGTTCACCCCCAAAGACCAGGCCCTCTTCAACAACCCCATGTATGTTGGCAAAGGTGCCACCTGTGTGCAGAACGGAGCAGTGAAATCCTTCAGACGCACCAAGGTCAGTTTGCTCTCTTGGTTTGAGAATGACAATTAATACAATGAAACTACCCCTTAACAGGATAAGTACATTTAAGTTCTAGACAGGCAAATTAGGGAGCTTTGCAAGAATAGCTATGCAAGACTATCCAGGGACAGTCACAGATACCTGGCAAATAACCTGAATTCTTGAAGATCAAAATGTCATGTTCATCAAAGTAAAATCAACACCATCTACATGTATGTACATTCTAAATTCTAAATTGAATAACTTGTAAATAAGTTTGTGTTCCTTTCTCTTCCAGAAAAACTACAGTTCTACACTCCGAGGGATGCCCTCTTCCCTGAGGAACATCCTGATGGACGGCCATGACAGCCTCACCCTGACCAGGCGGAACTCCCTGGTGCTGCGGCTCAAACCAGACTTCTCCCAGATCAGAGAGGTGGTGGAGAGCCCAACAGAGCGCTTCTTCAAGGACTGGTTCTCCCGGCCCGCAGACCTGCAAGGGATGCTCATCCCTCAGCTCCTGGCCTTCACACCTGGCCCTGTGGAGGCTCTACTTCCTGCGCTGGGTTCCTGAAGCACGCATCCCCAAAGGCGGCCCTGTTACCGCATACCACAAGCTCTCCCAGCTGGCTGATGAGATAGAGATGCTGCAGAGCCAGCTACGCCAGTACAAGGGGGCCACTCCGGCCAGCACCCCGACCTCCACCCCCAGCGCCCCCCCATCAGACCACAGCAGGATGTACTTTAAGGCCGGCTCCACCCACGAGCCCTCGTCAACTCCAGAGTACCTCAGCTCCTCCTTCCCCTTCTCTCCCGTGGGGAACATGTGCCGCCGCAGCATCCTGGGCACTCCTCTCAGCAAGTTCCTGAATGGAGCAAAGATATGGCTCTCCACTGAAACTCTGGCCAGTGAGCCACTCTGATGTCCCGTGGCTAAAGTTCTCACTCAAATCAGTGCTTAGCTCAGTTGAATGTGATGATGTGGCAGTTTGTTTTTGCACAAGATTATTCATCTTTGCTTAAATCGCACATTTCTTTAGGGTTTTGCCAGGGTTGCTCTCTGTAGGGTGTCAATTTTGATTTCCAGTTTCACTTTGTTTTAGATTCAGTTGAGTACATAGAAGAATGTTAGTGGAATATGATTTTGTAGTGACATTGATGTAGCGCTGATGACACTTTTAGAAGGAAAACAGGAGCTATGAGGAGGAGGAGTTAAATCTGTGGTAGACACTTATCTCTTTATTTGTATCACTTAATATAGTTTAGTTGTATTTCTAGAGACCTTCTGGTAAGGTACTGCATTAATTCTAGAATGAATAATAACCAAATCATGAATAGTGAAAGGAGAAGGACAGACAGGGCTAATTATTAGTAGGCCTTCTTGCAGGAAATGATCATCAATCACGCAACACACCAATAAAATGCCAGGGAACTGGCACTGGAAAATGTCTTCACTGTTCAAGACATTCATCAATCAACTTTTCCCTTGATGGCTTTGGCATTGAAATGGATCAGTATATGGACATGTAAGCTTTGGCGCTGTGGGCAGTGAAGAACCACTGGGCAGGCTGGATACCTGTCCTATCATTACTGTACACCCACAGAGCCTGAACTGATGCTGCTAATGGCTGGACACCGCCTGAACTGATGCTCAGACAATCGGCATGTCCGTTCACCATAGCCAGGTGATGTGGGTTTTAAGTGGAGACGTAAACAGTTGGAATCTGTTTTCTCTAATGAGCCCGCATTGCTCATTCACCTGATATTCACTAGGCAAATCCCAAATATGAAGTGTTCTATGACATAACTACTGGTAATGGTGGTTGTTGTTTGAATCATGAGAAGGTGAAAATAATATTGGTAAATAATGTACAGTTTTTATTGCTTGAAATTACTTATTTGACTATTTTCTAATTATGGTACTTACTACTTTTAGTTTATATTCCATTAATGCACAGCCCTCATTTTAGTTTACCACTAATTCACACCATTGGTGCACTCAGCACTGTTATTGTATGACAATTGTGCTCCTCTTCATTTGACACAATTTGATATTGATCAACAGTGCACGTATTTATTCAGTTATGCAAATAGTCTCAAACAGGGATATAGGAAATTCTCAGTGCCTTTTTAGATGGAAATGTGGGTTTACTTACTGTGTTCACTGTACCGGGTCACTTCTATCACTTATTCTACTATGCATGTTGTTACACCCAGAGTAATGACATTAGGAGAGACTGAGTACTTCAAAGGCTGCATCTGGAAGCCAAATTGAAGTGCTTGATCTGAAGTAACACCTTGTTGGGATTAATGTTATGTTGTACCTTTTGTGCTCTGTGGAGTGTCACTGTGTTAGATCAAGTTTGGAGATACACATTTATGGTTTGCAGAGCACTTGTTGGACAATTGAGGGGTCTGAAGTGCAATAATGATCCTCTCCCCACTTCAAAAGCACTGTCAACACTCTGACCACAGGGATCACAGCTGTAAGACCAAATGTCAATGTTAAAGAATTTAGAGCAAATAAAAATGTCTAAACATTTCTGAAGTTGTTGTTTTTTGTTATGTGGGGGGGTAGATATGTGTGAATATTCTTGTATTTCACAGACACCCAATAAGGTGGCTGCAACGCTTGTGACTGGGCTGGATTGGAAAGCTGTCAAAATTAGACGATTAGCAATGTCTGCAACCCAGATTTATGAGGGAAACTGAAGATATTCACGTGATATTCAAATTAATATATTAACCATGCTATATGCAGGTCTGATATTAGTCAAACCAGGTCATACTACAGTCAGTGTATGGATAAGAAAATGCAAAGCTACTGTACACACTGTAACTCAAATCAATAAGCATGCCACCAGCACCCCCTGCTGTAAGTTCGGAGCATCAACCGGGAAAATTGCAAAAACACATCACAATAACATACCGGTACTGTAAATCTGAGAAAGTACTGCATTCGTAATTCAAGCACCTCCTAAAGAATCTCAAGGAGGGACCCATAATGGGCTAAAATACCACTTGTTTTCATTGCCTTAGTATTGTCATTTAGAGGAACAAGGCAATGTGTGTTCTGAAGGGAAATAGGTAATTCCCTCAATTGTGCAATGCAGACATTCGGGGGAAAATGTCAAGTTCAAGTGTTCCTAGCAGAAGGTAAACGTGCCTATGTTGTTTTTTTTGGCCATGAAGCTTAAATTTATTGAAAATTATCGGATTTCTATGCCGCAAAATCATCCAGGAAATCGAATTTACTATGTGTGACGTCATCTAGGAGCGCCACTGGGTTTTCGTCTGCTGGCCTCCGAAATGGGCTCGACTAATCAGCCCTGATTTCATCCACATTTCCTTATCATATTAACTGTTCCGAAAGCGTAAGGCACTCGAGGCATATCCACAATGATATTTGGAGGTAAGTGCACGAGAAGACAGGAAGTAGTGGCGTCTGGAGAAACTATATTTGACTATTTTAGACTGATAATAACAGCTGAGAAATGGCTATCCAGCTAGCTAGCTAGCCATTAACGTTACTAGTGTACGCTGATGTCCAGCCATAAATTATGACGTTGCCTGGCCTTCTCATTTCACTATTATTTTCATCCCACGAAACTTAACTTTTCTAACTATGTCCAGAACAGTAGATAATTGTCATCCAATTATTTGATCATGTTTTGTAGCTAGTATGAGTAATCTCAAGCTTGTTTGAATGACATGAGGAAACACCCAGCTAGATTGCTACTTTTGACTCCCATCCCAACAAAAATTGCAGTTTTAGCTAGAGAACTAACGTTAGCAAGAGAGGTTAATCAATTTGATATCAGATGTTAAACATTTTCTAAGATATAGTGCAGTTTGTCCAATGAAACATGATCTATGCCCAGAGATCATTGCTCCTATTCAAGGAAGATGAAAACAGCATACTACTGTAGCGAATAACGGTTATTTCTTCATGGACATGTCAAAGACAGGCTATATTCGGGGAAATATTAGCACTAGATTTATGAAAATATCAAGCACCCTGCTGTCCTCCGCTCCTCTGCGCTGTGGAAAGTGAGGCATGTGATATGAATGTGGGTCATTTAACACGTTTATATAAGATTTTATAAAGAAGGGGAGGAAATGTGAGTGGAAGAGGGTTTGTTGTGTAGGTGTTTGTGCATGCCTGGGTGTTTATCAGACTCAAATCTGTCTTCACCCTTATGTTTTCCTCCTCTGGCTTCCTACTAGTAATCCAATTGACTGTGGAAAAAATACATAGCAGTGTCATGGGACAAGACAATATAATTAGGCTAGCTGAAAAAAATAATCTGTAAGCATTTCTGGTTGCAGCAGCTGAGGTGTAGAGGTCTCTCCATTACTCTCTTGTCCTGTGATTCACTATGTCATACAGTTTAGCCAGTAACATAACTTCTTGCCATGGTGAGAAGGCAATATGGCACAGACCATAAAATGAGCTGAAGTGTGTGCCTAATCTTTATGGCGCTGTTGGTTTTCTCACCCCCTGTCAATCCATGATGGCAAATAGACCTAATTATTCAAGGAATAAGAGTTTTTAAAGCTGCAATATGTAACTTTTTGGGTGACCTTACCAAATACACATAGAAATGTGTGTTTATAGATCTGTCCTTCTCATTGAAAGCAAGTCTAAGAAGCAGTAGATGTGTTCTATGTGCTCTATTTCTATTCATCCTTTAAGTTTCATTTTTGCATATTTTACTTCCAACAGCTGAATATAAAATGTCTTTGGTTATGGAAAATATATTTTTCAGTGGTTTAGATGGTACAATGATTCTCTATACTATACTTGCTTGTTTTGGGGCCTCCCGAGTGGCGCAGCGGTCTAAGGCACCGCATTGCAGTGCTTGAGGCGTCACTATAGACCCGGGTTCGATCCCAGGTTATGTCGCAGACCCATGAGGCGGTGCACAATTGGCCCAGCATCGTCCGGGTTAGGGGAGGATTTGGCCGGCCGGGATGTCCTTGTCCCATCGCGCTCTAGCGACTCCTTGTGGCGGGCCGGGCACATGCGCGCTGACTTCGGTTGCAAGTTGTACGGTGTTTCTTCCGACACATTGGTGCGGCTGGCTTCCGGGTTAAGCAAGCAGTGTGTCAAGAAGCAGTGCGGCTTTGGAGGACGCATGGCTCTCGACCTTCGCCTCTCCCGAGTCCGTACAGGAGTTGCAGCAATGGGACAAGACTGTAACTACCAATTGGATATCACGAAATTGGGGAGAAAAGGGGGTAAAAAGTAAAAAAAATATATATATAATAATACTTGCTTGTTTTGTCACAAACTGAAATCAGGCGGAACTATTAGAATTTTTGCAACCAGGAAATGGTGGAGCGGTTTCTGCATAGTGCATCTTTAACTGTAATTCTGTGTCTTTGGTTTGTTTGTGTCCATCATTTTCTGGATCTCCTGTGGTTTGAAAACACACGTTTCCTTTCATCTACTATCTCTTTCAAACATCTTGGCACTCTTAAGCCTGGCTTGTGGGTCCAGTATGTGATGATGTAGCATGTTAAGGTGAATCCTCTGTGTGGTCCTCTGTAGCTCAGCTGGTAGAGCACGGCGCTTGTAACGCCAAGGTAGTGGGTTCGATCCCCGGGACCACCCATACACAAAAATGTATGCACGCATGACTGTAAGTCGCTTTGGATAAAAGCGTCTGCTAAATGGCATATTTTTATTATTATTAATCCTTGGAGTCCTCTGCGGCCGGTCACACTGTCTCTCTCTGTGTTTCCAGGTGAGGCGGTGGACGAGGTCAGCTGCAGGTTCTCAGAGCTGGTTCCTGTGGTGCTGACTGCCTGGCCGACAGGCTCCACTCCCCGTGCTGCACAGTAAAGAGCCTTTCCCGCCCAGACAAGACCACACGGCACCGCCATGAAGCCAGGTCACGAGCGCAATCAGGAGTGCCTGCCTCCCAAGAAGAGGGATCTCAACAACAGCACCAGTAGTAGTAGTAGTAGTGCGGGAGGAGGGGCAGGAAGTGGGGTGGGAGGAGGAGGAGGAGGAGGAGGGGGAGGGGGGGAGGAAGTGGCCTCCACTCAGAGCTCAGGGGTCGGTGGTGACACTCAGGGAGGAGGCACAGCAGAGGAGTGGCTGCGTGCTCAGCCTGGTCTACACTATGGAGTAGAGCATGCTGAGGGCCTCCAAGGGCTGCCTGTTGACCAGTACAGCATGCTCTATAGGGTGGCTCTCCCCTCTGTCTCCTACTCCCAGACCAGTCTACACCCAGTGTTAAGCCATATCTCTCCAGCTTACACTGTCCCCTCATCTCTTCTACAGCATCATCCAGGGATCCCCTATCCCCCTCTAGGCTATGCCCAGATCCCCCACTCCTCTTTCCAGTTTGTCAACTCCCCATACGGTGCAGTCCCTTATGCAGTCCCCCCTGGCTTTGTTCCCAGCTCCCTGATCTCCCCCTCAGGCGCCCTCTCCCAGCCCCACCTGGTCCCCTACCAGTCAGTCATCCAGGATGGGGTGGTCTCCCCTCCTACCCAGGCCCATGTATCTGCCCATGCCTTTGCCAAAGTGGGGTCATCCGGAGGGGTCCCGCTGATGCACCCAGCCAGCACCTGGGCGTGCTGCCCGCCGCAGAGCTCAGTCCTCGGGGAGTGCCAGTCTTTTACCACCCTCAGGGCACCAGGGCTGTGCCTGCCCCCAGGGACCCCTACAGCGGGGAGCAGGAGACAGACAGGGATAGGGAGGTGAATGGAGGGGAGAGGGAGCAGGCAGCCAGGGAGATGCTCCAGGACTCAGTCTACATTGCCAGGAATGCACGGTTGCTGCAGGCAGCATCCGCCTCTGCAGCACTGGAGCACACACAGGACAGAAGCCTGAAGAGCCGCAGGCTGGACGAGAGGGCTTCACCTGGGCAGCGCAGCACCCCAGACACTGACCTGGAGGTAAGACTTGAGGTTTTGTTGTAGTTACTTTACTTATTTTAAGTTATTTAAGTTACTACTCCATAAGTCAAATAAATGTTCTATGTTCAATTAGTTTTCGAATAAGGACCGTTTTGAATTGTCCAAAATTCGGACTTTATTTAGTACACTTGACTTTTTTGTCTGCTGTGACAGTTGCACAATATCCATGTTCCCCTCCATTTCCTTCCTTTATTACTGTGTTGAGGGTGTGATGATCATTGGGCAACCAGTCGCATCCACACTGCCTGCTGCTTCTAGGAAAGACAAAACATGGTCTGGTTTGTGGTCTCGACTAGAGTTGATAGGAAACCACTGCTTTCTGAGGCTTAATAATGGTGGTTGAGAGGAGGTACAGGAGGACAAAACTTCAGTATTTTTTCATTTTTCTCAGACACAACAATGTATTACATTGAAAGATAAAAAGGTTGATTGAAATGTGTTAATATAATTTATCTTTTGTCATCCTCAAGGTTCAGCAGGTGGTTGGTCGCCTAGCCTCTCCTGTCCAAGGCGTGAGTGGAGGCCGCAAAGAGGTGTCCTTTGGTCCCCTGAACCTATCCCAGGGCTCCCAGAGAGGCAGAGAGGCTCATGGGGAGGCAGGCGCAAGTGCTGGCCGGACAGCGTACGCTATCCACCCTGCGGTGTATGGAGACCCCAGAATGACAACCCAGCAGCAGGCAGGGCAGCCAGGCCACGCGGTCATCTTGGCCAATGGACAGACAGTCCTGGTCCCCTTAGACTATCACCATCTCCACCACCAACATCAGCAGCCACCCCAGCACTACCCCAGCCAGACCAATGACGACACCTCTGCTGTCACCATGGCCTCCCCCACCACCTACTCTAAAGCCTCTGAATCTCCAGCCAGAGTGTGCCTTCCAGACAGGGCAGTGGTGGAGCTGGCCGCCGTGCAGCACCCCCAGCAGCCTGTCTCTGTCCCAGTCGCGGCAGCCCTAACCCAGGCCCTGGCCCCGGCGCCCACCCCTGCCCCCTCCAATCCCTCCCACTTCATGAAGGGGGCCATCATCCAGCTGGCCACGGGGGAGCTGAAGCGCGTGGAGGACCTGCAGACTCAGGACTTTGTGCGGAGTGCTGAGGTGAGCGGGGGGCTGAAGATCGACTCCAGCATGGTGGTGGACATCAGGGCCAGCCAGCAGAGACCCGGCCTGGTGGCGCTGCACTTCACAGTGGGCGAGCAGCAGAGCAAGGTGACCATCGACGTGCCCCCGGAGCACCCCTTCTTTGTGTTTGGCCAAGGCTGGTCCTCCTGCAGCCCAGAGCGCACGGCCCAGCTCTATGGCCTGGCCTGCCACCTCCTGCAGGTAGGAGACGTGTGTGTGTCCATCACTCTGCAGCAGCCGCCCCAGCAGCAGAAACAGCCCCTGCAACAACAACAACAACAACAACAACAGCAGCAGACCCAAGCCAGGACTTCCACCAAAGCAAACTCCACATCAGGGGCCATCGGCCAGCCCATGGGGCCCCCTGCCCCCCAGCAGCCCAGGCCACAGCCTCACTTCAGGATGGAACGCGTCCACAGAGAGAGGGAGAGAGGGGATAAAGAGGAGCCCATGCAACTAGGGGGTGTTGGGCAGAGTGAGATGCCCACCAGACCAAATAGGACTTCAGCAGAGCACACTAGGAGCCAGAGCAGTTACTATTTGCACACAGAGGGTCCTGCTCGTCCAGGGGCGGGGGTGGGAGTGGTGTCGACCGTGTCGAGCGCGTCTCAGAGGCGCTGGTCCGCTTCCCGGCCTCCAGAGATGCATGAAGGTGGAGGAAGGGGCGCACCCTCAGCTGGGCTCCTCTCGACCCTCCTTCATCCCACAGGAGGTCAAACTGTCCATCGAGGGGCGCTCTAACGCTGGGAAGTAGCACCAACCACGGCAGTCCACACCACAGAAGAGACTGTGTCAGAGGAGCGAAAGCATCAGAGAGAGAGAAAAAGGGGGAAAAGAGTGGGAATGTAGCCTCAGAATGTTTGATATTTTGCACACCTAATAAGATTACAAGCTCTTTGTTTTCAGAGGAGCTACCAGGTCTGGTGGCTGGTCAGGTCTGCTCTATTTGGCAGTCTATCTGTCAGTCAGGACAACTCCTGGTCCAGTGATCAGGAGATTGGGTCTCTTCTCTCCCAGGCTGACAGGGAATGGATGCAGAAGCAGGGAGTGTATGTAGCTGGTGAATCACCTACCAAAGCCCTCAGACTGCATCTTCCTACCGCCCTACCAACCCCTCAGAACCATCCTTATCAGAGGTGATCGCATTCACTGGACTTTCTCTCTTCTTTGACCAAACCATCTCCTCTGGAAACCCAAGACTGGGGAGAATATATAGCCCATGTCTGGTAGACAGACACAGGGTCTGACACAGTGACCAGAGCTTAGCCATCTTATTATGCTCTGTCTGTCTGGCTCCATACTCCTTTCCCCCCACATTTCTATTTTGGTCTGTTACCTTCAAAGCGTTCTCCCAAAAATAAAAAAAGACTAAAGGCACACTTGCGGTGCTGAATTGCTGGCACATAGATGCTTTTCCCTCTAATTATGTTAGTTCTCTTGATGCAGACTCTTGACGTGTGTCATCGTCACTTAGTGTGCTTTTCTGGTAGGAGCAGAGGACTTCTACCAATGCACAGACACTCTCCCCCGCCTCCCTGCCTCTCCTCTTAGGGCCCAGTCTGCTGAGAGAGGGTCTGAGAGGAGGGCAGGCAGCCTTGGAGGTCTTTCAATCAGCTCCTTCAATCAGAACCTAGGAAACCGCTCACTCCTTTCGTAATGCACCAACCACGCTGCCCCGTTTTACATTTTACACCCCAACCCCACTTTGTGCCACGGTTACATGTCAGTTTTCCTTTTGAAAGAAACCAGATCATGCATTCCAGTATCATAGTGACCACATACAGTACAGAACAAGACAACACAACTCATCTTCCCGAATGCAGCCCTCCCTGCCTGCTATACCTCTCAGCATTCCTCGGCCTGGCTGGTGACTGTTTACTGTCATTGTGTTAGTAGGCACTACTACTAGGGGCACGGGCTGGTCTCCACCAAAGTCACCTGTGGTGAAGTCTGCATGGAGCAGTACTGGCTGCAGACTGCAGCCTGTCGTGGACGGTTAGGGCCAGAGAGTGGAACCCCCCCAAAGAGCCATGTTGGCCCCCATAGACTCTCTCTCAGTACAGCAGCCCCTGGGCCTGTGAGGGGGAATACTGTGTGTGTTGGATGGGAATGGAGTTGGCCCTGCTTCATACCTCTTTCACACTTGTCCCAGCCCAAACGGGGGGGATCTTTTGGCTTGCTTTCCAGTGAATATAATTGGTTTTAAGGTTAGCCTGCCAATTTCCAGCCTGGTTGAGGTGGGTCATGGCTAGCTAACTATGTGCCTCTGCTCGCTTAAAAGCAGGATGGTACTAGATCTGGTCAGGTCGGCTTACACCATCGTCTGAAATGGGTATTTGAGTCCAGTCAATCCTTGCTCAGTTACCAAAATCAAAGCAATAGTGGGTTTTCTGTTTATTTTGTTATTGTTTTTATATAAATATACAGCTAATACTATATATCAGACCTAATGCTATCTTTAACCCTGACCTGAAACGTTCCTGCTTTTCAAAGGTGATGCACAATTTGGCTATGAAATGTTTTGTTCTTTGTATGGTTATTACAGATTCACAATCAAAGCATGCCTTTTTGATATTCTTTTTATTTAGAAAACCATGCATTTCTTCTGGAGAGAATGTCTCCTTTTTGATGGACTGGAGGTTCGGGCTCTGATCCTCACTGATGGTATTCATTCTGGTTTTATATGGTTAGCCTATGTGGTTTTATATGGTTAGCCTATGTGGTTTTATATGGTTACCCTATATGGTTACCCTATATGGTTTTATATGGTTACCCTATATGGTTTTATATGGTTACCCTATATGGTTACCCTATATGGTTTTATATGGTTACCCTATATGGTTTTATATGGTTACCCTATATGGTTACCTTATATGGTTACCCTATATGGTTAGCCTATATGGTTTTATATGGTTACCCTATATGGTTACCCTATATGATTTTATATGGTTACCCTATATGGTTTTATATGGTTACCCTATATGGTTTTATTCAAGTGCATCTCCAAGAGAGGCTTGACTCCAAATCAGTGGTGAGCATCTTTAACTGTCCTCTGTTTTGTCCTCTCCGTTGTCTGTTAATGTACTTGTGTACAATGTAGAATTGTTTTATTTTGTCCATGGCAATATTATTTCCAATGGACCTTAAGATTGTCTTGTATTGCACATAGAAAACTTCACCCGTTGATTCACACTGACCTTGTAATGGGAATCACAAATAGTTTCGTTTTCTTTTATGAAGGGACATTTTCTTTTGTAGTTCTCTTTTTTTTTTTGTGAAGTATTCTTAAGGTAGTTTTGGCGATAGAGAAACTGACTTGCATGGTTGACACTGTTTACAAATTAGCCAAGAAAAAATGCTGCAGTTTCCTTTTTCGGACACAGATTTTAGTCACTGAGAAACTTCAAATGGATGAAATCAAGATTAAGTGCAATTAGATCAGATGTAAAAATCACTCAGACATTTAGTTTGATATGGCATTCCATAAAGCAGCCAGACATTTAGTTTGATATGGCATTCCATAAAGCAGCCAGACATTTAGTTTGATATGGCATTCCATAAAGCAGCCAGACATTTAGTTTGATATGGCATTCCATAAAGCAGCCAGACATTTAGTTTGATATGGCATTCCATAAAGCAGCCAGACATTTAGTTTGATATGGCATTCCATAAAGCAGCCAGACATTTAGTTTGATATGGCATTCCATAAAGCAGCCAGACATTTAGTTTGATATGGCATTCCATAAAGCAGCCAGACATTTAGTTTGATATGGCATTCCATAAAGCAGCCAGACATTTAGTTTGATATGGCATTCCATAAAGCAGCCAGACATTCCCATTAGCTTAAGGTAATTCCAGTTCCAGTTGTATTTTTTCCAGTTAATACTCGTCAGAAAGACATTTCACCTCAGTTCTGTCTAGTTTTAATGTCTCTGGTCACTTCTGAACCGGTAGTCCTTGTCTGCAAATTATGTGTATTTGTTTTGATATCACCTGTGTCATAAGATGTGGTCCAACACAGATCCAAGCATTAATATCCCAGGCTCACTGATAGTGTGTGAGATGGTAACTGTGTGTTAGAGCGTCTCTCAGCTGGCCTGTCTCTGTATCCTGAGCTCTGAACTGAAGACTGGTGATTGTGTGTGGTGACATCCACTGCCTTCTAACGGACTGGGGTCCCTCATCCAAGCTATTTATAGACGGCTGTGTCAAATCTAGTTCATACATCCCTTCCAACCCCACCACCCCCACTGCCTCCAGAACATTTCTGTTGAGTGGAGCCCCCAAGGACTCACGGTTCACTGAGGATAAAACCTGAGAGAATGGTCCTGATGGAGAAGGGCGGTCCGTTAGACCTGATCAGGGCAGAGTCACATGCCATTTGATCCCATCATGACAACCAATCTGTCATTTTGTTGAAATATAAATATGTTTTTAAATACGGTAGTGGTCCATACAGAGATGAGCTGGATGATTTTCCACAGTGGAGAAGTAGACTCAATACTTTTTAATTTATTTTTTACAGTGATTACGTTTGTTTAATTTTTTATGCTATAAGCAATACAGTTACACAGAATACCTGAAAACATTTCATGTAGTATAAGCATGTGCTATGCAGTAAACTCTGAAGTATTCTGCTCTTCAGTGTCCAAGTGTACCTACTACGGGGTAGGGCAGGTTTGTAATGTATATAAAAAGGTGGCTGATGCAGTCATTGTACACTGATCTCTCTGTTTGAGTACTATTGCTTATCAGTGCCCACCCTTGGGTGTCTGAATATAGTGGATTTCTTTTGTTTTTGTTAGGTTGTTTTTGTTCAGCAGACCCTTAGTTGTCACTAACCGAAGTTCAGCACAGTGTTTTGTTCCAGTCAGCGCAGCTTTTACCTCTACCTTACGCTGCCACGCAGTACGGGCCAAATCATGACCAGAGATGTGGAACTCAAATGTTCATGTAAATCTGTCATTGATGTCTATGGATTTGTGCGGAAATTCAAATTATGTGCATGGATCTCCAGTTAGATTTCAGCCTTACGATCTCTCTTGGTCACGTGTAGCAATACCTTGTTTAGATATGGTATGAATGTTGAGGTGTGCATTCTGCCCTGTAGGTTCAGAGTCTTCTCTGAGGTGAACTTTTACTCTCCAAAATGTACTGTCTTACCAGGGGCTCTCAGCTGGGCCTGTCTCACATTTTATAGGAGATGGTGTTGTCAAAAGTTTTGTGAATGGGTTGTAGCTCGTGTCCCACCTGGGGGGCTCTTCCAGAAAGCAGGATCAATGAGTTAGCCAGCTAACAGTCCCCAAAAAAACAAAAATAACTGCATCTTTTCGAGAAATATAAACTTGAAATTGGCATGGTATAATTGACTTGACAACCAACAATCCATATTCAGGTTTAGTTTGCCAAATGAATCAGAAAATCAAGAGATGTATTTGACTGCTTATCAAAGTTACCTGACAAAGGTAATGATCCTGCTTTCTGGAACACCCCACTGCTCTCCTCAACACACACACACTCTTTCCTACAGTTATTCTTCCAGATATTCTTATTTCAGTGAAATATCATTAACAGAACTCCTCACATGCACAAACAGCACTTCTGTGGACCACCGTCTCACCACATCCTCCCCTTGCCATGTCACACAACACGTGTATCAAACTCAGTATTCTGGTCTGGGAAAACCATTGTAGGTGCAAGTAGTGCCTCCTGTTTCTTTACCTCTTCCTCTCTGTCTTGAACACAGTATGTGGCTGTATGACTACTCTGACTCTCAGCAGACAGTCAAGTGCACAGGCACATTAGCAGCACGCCCTCTGTTACACTCAGACTAGCATCATTCTCTGACTTCTGCTTGGAATGTGAAAGTGCTACTTCAGCAGTTTGCTAGGTTCTTTTCTTGACTCTAACCATCGTAAGAAAGGGGAAACATTTGACCTGTACGTTTTTGACCTCACTCTTCTTATTAGACTAGTCTTTTACTACAATTTTATTAAAGAAAGACAATTGCACTAATTTGCCATCCTTTATAGTATTATAAAATTAACAGTTAATTGAAGAGTTTAATTATTAGCGCTAAACAACACAAAACCCAATGAAACTATCACTTGACAGTTGTGCATGTTTTGTAGAGATAATGTTTTGTATGGCTATTATCAAGCTTGTCTATAACGCCTTAAGATCAGCTTCGTACAATGTGTTAATGGAATGATGCTCACAGGTGACCCAGTTTCCCTTTTTTTGTAGCTACAAGGGTGGATCAGTTCACTCTTGTTGTATTGACCCTCTCTTGGCACTCTCCTAGTGTTTTATTCATAAGCAGAAAGGCATTAGGAGATGGACTGTATCTCTGAATAGGTTACGGTGAGGGCACTGCTTGAAAGCTAGACCAGTAACTGACTCACTGTTGGGTTTTTTACACACACACCACCCTCTGTTGTTAATGTGAGTGAACGTTGTGAGTAGGTCCCTGAAGGTGAGAGGTTGTGCTCAATGTATTTTAGTTCTGGTCCTGTGATCTACATGGGAGAGAATGTAACAACTTTCTATTGGTAACAATATGACCTGTTGAATTTGTTTTGTGATTATGGGAAAAGGCTTTATGACCCCTGTATAAAGTAGCCCTGTTGGTCTGATCTTGTATGACTGAGGTAAATAGACTGGATGGGATAGTATTGTTGCCAGGCACTAGATGCAGAATTAAATCAGGAAGATGAGAATGGTTAAAAGTTTTAAAGGAGTCGTAGTGTACTTTCAGATTTGACATTGTATTTTGGCACTAAAGTTACTGCTTTTTACGTGACATTTGACCAGTTTTAAAAGAAACAGCATCTTTTTTTTAAAGCATAAAATCTGCAAAAATATATGCAATGATGTATATGTAATATTCAATCCTCAAATATAATCCAGGTTGTATAAACTTTGTATAGTGAGTTTTAATATCGTATGGCCGTACCAATATGTATTGATTCTTATCAAAAGCCTTAGTTGTCTACCCAAAGTGCTCCCTTAGAATACAGTACCCTACACCTACCTGAACTTTACAAAGCATTAATAACTATATTTTGTTGCGTTTTTTATTTGTACCCTTTTTGAATAAAATAGATTTGTACTGTATATTTGTACCGCTGTGAACTACTTAAGGCTGTTTTTTGTTTTTATTTTTGCTGTTTTAATTCTATGTACTTAAGGACACAAAGATATTGTATTTTTATTGTTACAGCTAACTTCTTGGAGACATTGCATTTATCATGTTTGTTAAGTAAACACAATAATATATATATATATACTATTACCCTATGTCAGAGTTGTGTTTTATTTGGTCTCTTCTTTGACTAGTCCACATGGAGAGGTGATTATGTGGGTTCTGGAGCTAGTTCCAGGGTCATAAACCATCTCATATGCAGCTTTGGGTTATCAATTATTTGATTACCACAGAGGTCAAACTTGAGTTTCAGGATCATGTCTTAGCAAAAACTGAATGACCTATAGAGTTGGTTAACTACAGTACAATACACCAGTGATAGTTTAATTCCTATCATTCCATGTTCATGCTCTGTTCACAACCCAGAGTTAGCATTGGACAGCACTACTCTGTGTAGGTGTTAGAGGTTTATGACACTGTCTGTGTCTGCCATGAATAGAGGCCATTGTGGCCTGGAGAGAGCCAGTCCATTTCAGTGGCATGCTTTATTTGCTGACTGGTGCTTAGAATGAACTGAAAGAGAAGAGACAGATTGAGACCCGCGCAGTGTAGTAAAGTCAATGTTTATTTCCACATTCTATTCCTGCTTTTAATATGATCTGTACATCTGATAATCCAGTAGCAGAACGACTGCCGAAAAAGTACCGTTCAGAACATTGTGACAACAGAACTAGCATAAATGTTCTCCTTTTCACTTTTGTTTGCCCTCATTGATTTTGGCCTTTTTAAAAGGATTTCCTTTGTAAACATGGACATCAAGAGAATATCCTGAATGACTAGTAAAAAGGCCAAAGTTCAAAGAACATAAGAATCTTTTGATTAAATTTAACAAAAACAGGCAGGCATAGAATAACAGTAGAATACAAGCTCATTTTGAACCATTCTAGGACAAATGCAGTTTCACGACATGCAGTGTTAACCTAATCCAGACTGTCACGCTAGGCAGAGCTTTAGACAGTGCTGTTCAAAAGCACAAACAGAACCTGGGAAACTGTCAATACCATTTCCTTTGTAGTATTTTAATGTTAGAGCGTATTCAACATTTTCCATAGCATTATTCCACTGTGTGAGGATGATGACACTGATATCAGCTGCCAGTTCAAATCAGTCAGAATACCCAGTATTCATTATTGAAAGGTGTCCATTCGTTCAGTACTTGGCAGAGATGTTAATACATAGATTTTGTAGCAAAGATAATGAGTGTGTGACAACTTTGTCTTGAGCACGGCTCTGCTCTCTGTGTATCTTAAATTAGGATAGTGATATGACCCTGCTGAAAATAAGTTCATGGACCAGGGCGCTGAATCTATGGCCAAAGAGGCCTCACTGAGTTGCATCGCCTGAGTTGCACATTTCTATACATTTGAGTCCATTTGTTTTTTTCCTGCACTCTGCATAGTTTTAAAAGAAAAAGTGTCAAATTTCCCTTGGAATAAATAGCACTGTTGCATAGAGGTTTGAACCACTCCTAGACTCCAACTTTTAAGGACAATTAGAATATAAGAGCTTTTTCCCTGTTAAGCGGGATGCTTTTCTGTTGTGGGCTTTAGCCTGGTAGTGGCTCAAACTGAGAACCAGTCTTGGTTCCTGTCTTGAGGAATATTCCAAACAACAACTAATCATGTAACATTGTCAATATGTGTCTGCAGAGCTCAGTTGTGAAACATTGCGTATCGGAGGTAACCTTTGAGGCAAGAAATTGAGAACAAATGACCAAAGAGAATAAAAAACAGAAATAAATACAGTATAGAACCAAACATGGCAAAATGTGTAATTCTACCTATTATATACCAACAAACAAAATATACCCATTTATTTTTTACAAAATATATATTCACATGTTGCATAAATATGAATTGGAATGAGGTCAATGAAGCAGGTAAGACCAGATATCTCTCCCAACTGGTCGAGGGTCAACGGGTTTAATAATGAGTCTTGAACATGTTCATTGGAGAGTGGAAATGCAGAGATTAGTTATTCAAAATATACTAAATTATTTATCCTGACACATAGACCTATGAGCATATTTCAATATGTTGGCTGAGTGAGGAAGGAAATCATTCAGTAGAATATGACTATTTGGGGCATTTAGAAAAATGCTAGTAAATTAGCATTCTCAGTTCACATGTTCAGTCCCAAATGGCCTAGGGAGGTAACTAATGTATAGAACAGGTTTGGTGAGCCAAAAATGTCAATGCAACAGAAGGTGCATAAAGTAAAAAGGAAATGATTACCAACTACTTGGCAAAGGTTATGGAGTGTTGAAGGTACGAGGGAAAAACACAGATTGAGGAAGGTCAATGTGACTAATAAAGGCAAAGAGACCTACAGTAGTGGCAGTATATATTGAGTTGAAGAGAATATGCTGGAATGGAGGCGAATGTTGCTCAAAACAGGGCTCATTAAATAGTTCAGCATATTCAGAGCATAGCAGATAGAATTGTGATGTATAGAACAGGCCCGTTTTCTATCATTCCTGTTTTATACCGTACATTTCTGACTACGTCTTTCTGAATGTTCTGTCCTGTGAATACATCCTAAAAATATCAAACACACCCACAAATTAAGGAAACAACCCGCATTCTCTTCTGTAGTGTACGTGTAAAGAAGCTTGGAGTCAGAACGTAGGCCACAGAGGGCTCGGCCTTGGCCCTTACTGAGGTAGTTGATTGGGTGGATATGAGCTAGCCAGAGCAGAGACCCACGTTGGCAGCGTGAGACAGAGAGAGGTGTAGCTACCGGTAAACTCCAGCCACTGGGCTAGCAGAAGGGACCAGAGGAGAGGGAGAGAGCTATGGGCTACGTGACCCACTCCCACCACTGATGGTCCATGTGCAAAAGATGGATGAACTGCTCCTGTCACAATGGGCTGCTAAATAAAAGTCTGCTAGCCCGCAAAACAGAACAGATAAAATCTCTTTACAACATGCTTTATCAATATCTATCATAAAGTGAAACATTCTTGACCCTGTTCTTATTTCCTGCTAGTCTGTAATAAATTAATGTTATTTGTTGACATAGGAGTTTGGGTATCAAGTCGTTGGACACAGAAGCTGCTGGAATTTCAACCAGCATGGAATGGTTCCATCTGTGACCATGGCAACCCATAGGCGTAGTGGAAAGGTCATTGTAACTGTTAGTTGTTCAGTGTGCTGCCCCCAGTGGCCTGGTCCTGCTAGGGCAGCTTCATGAAGAGGCCGTTGTCCAGAGAGGGGACAGGCATGGGGCAGGGGAACTGGAACAGGCTCATGTCTGCCGTCAGGGCGGCCATAGCAGCTGGGTCATGCTCTATCTGACCTCTCAGGGAGGGGTCAATCTTCTCCAGCCGCCGTTTCAGTCTCTTGGCCTCTCTCTCACGGATCAGCCTGGCCTGCCTCTTATCTGGCGTCTCGTTGGCCCTCTTCATCCGCATGGCCTCCCGGTCGCGCAGAAGCCTCCGTGTCCGTTGCTCCTCCGTCTCCTGCAGCCTCTGCATCCGCTTAGCTTCACGGTCCCGCAGCCTCCGCAGCTCCCGCTCCTCGGGCGACTCGTGCTCCCGCTTGGTCTTCTTGGCGGAGCGCTCGCGCTCTAGACGGTGCATGCGTGCCTCCACCGGCTCATTCTTCCTGCGCATGGCCCACTTCCTCATGGGAGACTGGGCGTCCACCAGCTGCTGGTAGGCCACACAGCTGTTACACACCAGCAGCACTCCGGCCGGGTGCACAGGCATGGGGCTCAGGATGTCTGGCAGCAGGGGTAGGCCTGGTGAGGGGCTGAGGGCATCAGGGAAGGAGGGGGGCGAAGAGAGGAGGCTGTGGTGCAGCGAGGGGAGTGGGTGGCCTGCGAGGAGTCCGGGACCTTGGCCATGTCCTGGGCCATGTCCATGTCCTTGGTTGTGGCCGGGGTTGTATCCCTGGTCGTGGCTGTGTCCCGGGATGTGGCCTGTGTCACGGCCAGGGTTGTGTCCTGGGCCTTGGTTTGGGCCATGGTTGTGTCCTTGGCTGTGGCCGGGCACTTGGCCGTGTCCCAGGCCATGACCGGGGTTGCCCATGGGGCTGCTGGAGAGAGACCGGGACATGGAACAGTTCTCATCTCCGCTGCTGCACTCCATGCTGCTGCCTGTGTTCAGGACCTCTCTGAGCTTCTCCCTGTGTAGGGGGGCAGAGAGATGAGTAGTTACAGGACACAGCTGTTATAGGCAGAGAGATACAGGACACAGCTGTTATAGGCAGAGAGATACAGGACACAGCTGTTATAGGCAGAGAGATACAGGACACAGCTGTTATAGGCAGAGAGATACAGGACACAGCTGTTATAGGCAGAGAGATACAGGACACAGCTGTTATAGGCAGAGAGATACAGGACACAGCTGTTATAGGCAGAGAGATACAGGACACAGCTGTTATAGGCAGAGAGATACAGGACACAGCTGTTATAGGCAGAGAGATACAGGACACAGCTGTTATAGGCAGAGAGATACAGGACACAGCTGTTATAGGCTCTCTAAACTCTGCAGATAACCCATGTCATTGTGTGTGTGAAAGGCTGAAGCACTATATTACGGTATGGGGCTGAAATGAGGTAGTAGTTGTGGTGGAGGCACAGACCTGTTGAAGTTGTTGGTGTCGGTGAAGCGTGTCCCACACACAGCACAGTTGGAGAGGCGGTCCTCAGAGTGGATGAGAAGGTGGCGCCCCAGGGAGCCTGGCGAGCTGAGCGCACGCCCACACACTGGGCACACGTAGCTCTTACTGCTGCCCATCAACGATGTGTGCTGCTCCACAGAGAGAGAGAGGGGGAGAGAGATGGAGAATTATAGTCATTTAATTAGGTAAACCACAATCGTTTTCTTTGTTTGTCAGTGTGTTTTATAAGCAACCTAAAAGTGAGGGCAAACCCCAACAGTGCATATCTAAAATACACATATCTACAATTGTGGCATAAACGTATGTGGTTAACACTACACCATCATGTGAGAAAGTACACGAATGGAAAGTGGAGGAAGTGGCTGCTGGTAAACGTGTAATTCTGGCTCAGTTTCAAGACACTGACATAACAACAAGTTAAAAACAGGATGAAACATCCAAACCTTAGGTTTGACACATAACCCAGAGACTGATCACATGACTGGATCATAATTATCCTTCCTTCTTTAGTGTAGTGATGACAGTAGCTCCTAGGTTTAAAGGTGATTATCTACCCCTAGCCCATTAGCCCCCTGATCCAACCGCTGAGGCTAAGGAGGCTTTGGCCCTGTCTGAATACTTGGTGCCATGGTAGACTGTCTGGTACTGTACTGCCCTCACCTGGTAGACGTGTGTGATGAGCTGCTCGGGGCTGCTGAACTCCAGGGTGCACAGAGGACACACACAGCTGCTCATCAGGTCGGCTCCCTCCTCGCTCTCCTGAGAAACACAATGTACTGTCTGTCAGGGTGATTTCAGAGGATCAATACTACTGTAGACCCAGATACTGGGCCCCGTGTAGCTCAGTTGGTAGAGCATGGCGCTTGCAATGCCAGGGTTGTGGGTTTGATTCCCACGGGGGGCCAGTATGAAAAAAAAATGTATGCACTCACTAACTGTAAGTCACTCTGGATAAGAGCGTCTGCTAAATGACTATGACTATGTGGACGCTATGTGGATCAACCATACAGATCTGTTTCATCAGTAATATTTATGCTAATGATTGTGTAATAATACAGTAAGTTATGTAATGGTGGTCCTGCCTACACTGAGAATGTAGGGCAAATATTAGAAGAGGATTTAATGTATGTGTACATCTAAAGGGTGGATATGCTCCTCCTCTCTACAGTACATCTATGGCTGGTCCTGGGGGCAGTACTCCTGAGAGGTAGGTCAAAAGGTTGTGTGTCTGTGTGGTTGTGGTGTTAGGTGGGTTGAGGGTGTGAGAGAGAATTACCCTCCGGCCCCCAGTGACTCATTGACTGTCACTATGACAAACTGTATGACACTGCAGTGGGTGTGAATTACACCACACAACCGGAGATGCTTTCTGTTTCTGGGGTCTGAAATAATAATAATAATAATAATAATAATAATATGCCATTTAGCAGACGCTTTTATCCAAAGCGACTTACAGTCGTGCGTGCATAAATTTTTGTGTATGGGTGGTCCCGGGGATCGAACCCACTACCTTGGCGTTACAAGCGCCGTGCTCTACCAGCTGTGAGGATATTCTGTAAATCGGCAGTTTCCAATTTACTAACTCAATGTATTCAGACGTATTCTTGTGCTGCATCTCTCTTTTTGTAGGATTATTAAATAACATGGTCTCTCTAAAGATCATTCTGGAAATGGACAGTAAAGGGTGGGGCAATAACCTTTCCACATAAGCCTAGAGGGCCAGATGACTCCGAGATCTGTAGAACACTATAAAATCAGGAAGGAAATGCATGTGTGAATCAGCAACCAGGCAGGCCCACACTGAGTGACCACACATGATAACAGTGCTAGGAGGAGAGTACACCCCTCCATGGGCAACCCTGAAAGTGACACTCACTTCTTTAACTCCCCTGTGGTGTGTTCTCTTGGTGGAGGTCATGTGGTCGTCAGCTGAGGTGTTGGAGGACGAGTCGTGGTTGTCCAGGTCGCTATCACTGTCTTCTATGGAGGCAAACACAGCCCTATCAATATAGACAGACAACAGAACACAGAGCTAGTCATACTCTCTCACTACACCCACTACAGAGAGTATGTCACATTAGGGTCAGGGAAATGCCCTAAATGCCCCAGATGCCTACCTGAAATGCTGTCCTGTTGGGAGTTGTTGCTGTGGCACTCGTTGTCCTCAATGAAATCATCCCTGCCATCCATGTTAATAGTGTGGAGGGGGCCTGCAAAGCCGGTGCTGTGAAAGGGCCCTGTGAACATAGAGGAGTCACAGGGAGATGATAAATCCATCAGAGGCAGGGGGGGGGGAATTTACCTCTAGGCAAATCCAACTCATTTTCAAACACTTTTAAAAACACGGAAGCCAAACGCGGAAACTATACATACAACTACCTTGGCGCTCGCGCATTATCATAATTAATATGCGTGCCACTAGAAATCCATGCAAACTATACATACAACTACCTTGGCGCTCGCGCATTATCATAATTAATATGCGTGCCACCAGGGACGGCCTGTTCAATAGGGCGATATGGGCGACGCACTGCCAAACGGGAAAAGGAAGGGATTTTTTTTCTAATCAATTATATCACGGCAACAGTAGTTATCAGTGTTGTAATCTATACGTCTGATCTGCCACAGTGCCACACTGCCACTAAATGTCGAATCAGGCTAAAGTCGTGCTTCAAATGGCTCCACCCCCTTTTGGGGCGATTTCAGTCAGATTGAAAATCGCCCAGAACTTCTGTCATAGACTCCCATGTAAAATCTATTTTTTTCAAATTTCAGAGCCTTCAATACAATCTCAATGGGTGTCTGTGGGCTTGCACTTACGCGCTTTCGTCATACGTTACGTAACCATGAACGTAACTGAGAAAAGAGTGGATTGTTTGAAAGAAGTTCCTTTTTGTCGGCGAACAAATGAAGATAAATTGGCAACGAAACAATTAGGACCTCCCAGACCAAATTTAATAATTCAACAGGTTTCTACTAAAGGCGGAAAGTCCTACACCCGAGGATTTTCCAAAAATTGGTACGAACGAAAAAAGACAGTGCCACTCACTCAACTGGATGACGAGGGATACAGGCTAGCTGTCCGCCGCCACAACGATGAGGTTAGTGTTGATAATCACAAGTTTACTGGATGTGGATATGGTGTAATAAAGGCAGTTTATTCAGAGGTAAATATATCTGGAATCGCGTTCACGGACCCGTTCGTCAAACTCTTAAAAATGAACTTGGGCTGGGAATTGCCAGGAACCTCACGATAAGATATATGCATCAGCATTGCGAGTCTCATGATTCTATACGTATTGCGATTCGATACTGTGATTTTATTGCGCACCATATGTCTGTTGCAGAGGGATCAGAAAGCCATGAGAATGAGTTTTGATCAGTCATGGAAATAAAAGTGCTGAAAACAAATTGGCTCCCAATGTGAGAACAAGCTATGAAGGAACAATAATGGTGTTTTGGTGCAGGTACAGCCAACTAGCGCTAAAATATTGCGATATTGTCAATACAGTATATCGTAAAGTATCACTATGTAACTCGATTTCTTTCACCCCAATCCCTCAAATTAACGGTAAATAACTGAATTGTTTGCCCCACATTTAGCTAAGATGATTAGCTAGCCAGCTAAAATGTTTTAGTTAGTTAGCAGTCGCATCTACAATAGTTTACTGTCAATAACATGTCTCCAAAAATGACGTGGTGTCTCCAATTGTGTTGACATTTTACAATTGCAATGCGCATCCATGAGTATCCACTTTCTGTAGCTCAGCTGGTAGAGCATGGTGCTTGTAACACCAAGGTAGTGGGTTCGATCCCCGGGACCATCCATACACAAAAATGTATGCACGCATGACTGTAAGTCGCTTTGGATAAAAGCGTCTGCTAAATGGCATATTATTATTATTATTATTATTATTATTATTATTATTATTATCTGAAGAGAGCCCCGAAACATTGTGTGCAGACATTTTATGCAATAAATGAAGTAGGTTCAATCTAGTAGTTCTGATCTTCTGATTGGTCCTGATGAGTTGGGCGAGGTCCCCTGCAGGCTACTGTCACTGTTGCATTGGCTCTGAGTCGGGTTCTCTGTCTTCAAATGTTCAGCCTAAGAGAGGGGATTTTTGTGTGTGTGTGTGTGTGTGTTTAACAGTGATGATGTGTGTGTGTGTGTTTAACAGTGATGATGTGTGTGTGTGTGTGTGTTTGTGTGTGTGTGTGTCCTCAGAGCAAGAACTCGTGAGTTGGAAGAACTGAGAGGCCTATGGCGTGGGTGTTGTCCTTGGCCACCTGCTGACAAGGCTGACAAGATAGGACCCTTTTGTCCATTGTTATTGGATAGGAACAGAACTTATAACCAGCTCCTGACCTAAATAGATCTTAGCACAACATTTTACTCAACATATCATATTCCATATTCACTATAACAAATATATTTACTACGACATTAGCAAGAACCGCCACATCCTCAGCCGGCTAATCCAGTGTGTGAAGTTTTGCGTGTTTGAGTTAGCTTTGCGAGGCAAAGATGAAACTGAGGGCTCCACCAACCCTGGTAAGCCAACACTTTTGAGATCAGTCAATAAATGCTTCTGGTATTGACTTATATGCTGCCCCTGTCTTCATGTTGTTGCTGGACATATCTTTTTTTAAATGTGTGTAGGTCACCTAAATCATCAGAAAAATTGCCCCTCCTGAGAATTTTTTCAGGAGCCGCCACTGCGTGCCACTAGAAATCCATGCATTAGCATGTTTCTGTTAGCCGATAAATCCTGAAAAAATACACCATATTACTGGCCTCCTAATGTGCCTGGACCTTGTAAAAAACCCATAATTGATCCAAATGGTTGCCCAATCAGGCAGGCTAGATGCAGTATTTTCTAAATGAACATTTAAAAACGCCAGGCTTTTGAGTCGTTATTCAAATGACCTAGGCTATTCACTGCAGCTTACAGCCTAGACTGGAGTTTTGTCCTCAACTGAAAACAATAATAACATTCTTCATTACATTGTGTTGTTGTAGCCTAGGTAGGATACATTTCTTGTCCCTAAAAAACTGAAACAATACGGTAGCTTTTCGAGCTGGTACCAGGGGGACTGGGAGGGAGCGCACAGTGTAGGCCGACCTATGATTTCGTTATCAGATAAACTTGTTTTTCTTTCACTATGTAAATTGACTGGATATATTCACTGCAGTATTAAGCCTAACATTGAGCTTATGAGAGAGTCTACATCCCAAGCCTGTCTTTCTGTTTTGTTGCGCAATTACGAACCTGGGCTCTCTTCTTCTTAAATCTCGTGGAGTCCCAGAAAAATCCAGACTACAAAAGCATGTTGGACACTTATTTTGACTTTTTTTTCCTTTAGCCTACTAATAGCCTATTGGAGGAGAGATACATGCTTGCTCTTACTTGCTGAATGTAAAATAGGCTACAGCATTAAGAACAGGCTGGGAGTTCCTGAGATACAGCCTGACAAAATACACCATATGAGTGGCCTGCTAATGTACCTTTCTGGACCTCCTAAACTGATCCAAATGGTTGCATAATCAGGCCTAGGCTGTAGGCATATGCAGTTATTTTGACAAAACAGGACGTTTGAGAGGCTATTCAAATTAGCCTACATCACTGCAGTTTACAGCCTATGGACAATAATTGTGTACTCAATTGATAACAGTAATACATTCCTCATTGCACGGTGTTGCTGTAGCCCAGGTGTAATAATTGTATTGTCTAAAAACGTAGGCCTAGACCTAATCAATAGTGAAGCTTTGCATGCCCGGGGACCACAGAGCGCAGCCTGGAGGAACGTGCACTACCAACATCCCATTTAATTATCAGTCCATTTTTGTTCTTGCACTTTGACTGGTAAATATTTTAGCTTATAGCACTAATATTTAGCTAATTAATGGCCTAATATCTAGCTTCATACTTTGGCTACACATCACTAGCCTCTCTCTTCCAGCTGTTCCCGTGTACAACAGGCTATAGCAGGGGTAGGCAACCCTGGTCCTGGAGTGCCGCAGGCACCTCATGTTTTTTATTTAACCAACCTGGAGGATCAGGTGTGTTGAATTTAGGCAATCATTGAAAGGATCAATTAGCTCATTTGGTCAGGTGTGGTGCCTAGTTGGAACAAAATCCTGCAGTACCTGTGTACTGTTGAGAGAAAGTGCATTGGTGTGATCACTTTTGGCCGGTTATTATGATAACACTGTTGCATTGCAAATAATTGCACAAGACAGACAGACAGAGAGATGAGCACAGTGAAACAGAAGACCCAAAGGAATTAACAATCAATAGAAAAATGGAAATCACTTGCAAACCACTTGAGCAAGGAGGCAATGACATGCTGTAATAGATGTGCAGGATATATGGCGTTTGTTGTTGAATTGCAACATTTAAATAGAGTAGGAGTTACTATATTGTTTTTCATTTGGCCTACATTGATGAATTATTTGCAGTTGTCACTATGACAACCCTGAAAGCACTGAATGGTCTGAACCAGTATCTGTTCGGTAGAGACCTCATGAATGGTCTTGTGTTACCGCCTTATTAATAGGCTGCGTGCAGTAGGATGCGTTGATCAGTTGATTGACAGGTGTAGGACTTCAGAACAATAAACTTTCCTCTAGTGTGGATGCTCACCAACGTTTTATAGTTATGTAGCCTATAGTTGATCATTATCGTTATAGGCTTGGTGGATGGCCATTAACACAACTAACGTTATCACAACAGAACTAGCCTAGTAGGTCTAGCTAACGTAAGATAACTTGGATGAAATAAATATAAAATTACACATACACTCACTTATACTTGTTTACTTGACTTTTATACTGTATACTATAAATTGACTCCTTCAAATAATTGACTCTGGCAAATTTACCACCGGCGAGCTGCAGTAGAGACGTAAAGCAGAAGTCGAAGCCATCACTTCCATTGTTTGGCTGTGCCCATAGCAATGTTAGAAAATGAGGTGGA